TGACAACTTAGCCCAATCAGCAAGTTGACAAGTAGTATTCTTCTAGCTCCAAGTTACCCAAATTCAGAAAATGTACATATACTATGAATCCATCGTGCTCCAGACCTGTCTCTTTGGACCCACTGTTTTCCCAACCTGTTTCCCTGTGTGTGACATGTTTTACACCTGTGAAATGACTGGTTGCGATGGGAAGACCTTAAGCTCAATTTGGAAATTGTTTGGCACCATGTCGATGCCTTGTGTTGTTCCTGAAATGCTATGGAGCCTGGATGAGCTAAAGCGTGTCCTGATAAGTGAGTTTCCCATTTTGGAGACTGAAGAAGGAGAGGGTTTCAAAATATTGTTTGACTTGTTTGTTGAGTGGGCTGAAATCCTGTTAAATTACAACAACCAGCATCCGCTCGCTCTGTTGAATTTGGGGAATTGTGGCCCAGAATCCTTCTCTCAGGGGATTTCCGGCCGCGCATACTCATGTCGCATCGCACTCGAGGGGTGTCATCGCACCACAGAGGACCCCATCGCACTCCACACACCTACTCACAGATCATCGTACTCCACAAAAGGGATCGTACACCAGAAAAACTTGCGCAGACAGCCAAAAACATTTTTTTTTTCGAAAAATTGACCTGAAGAGTTTTTTTTATTTTTTTTTCCTCTTCGGAGGTAAAATGCTCTGGAATCTGATAATATGGAATATGGGGGAAATTGTTGTTTTTCCAGCGTTTTGAGCAGTCGCGCATACAATCGCATTCCATGAAATTTTGATACTTTTGACCTGTGGAGGCTATGGAAATTCTCGATTGTTGTCTTAGTCGTGCGCGATAGAGTGTGATGCCTTGTGGGTATGTGGAATGGAATTTGCAGCCTCGATTTGGTCAAAAATGATATTAACATATGCCTGAGAAGCCCACATGCAGGAACGGCAACGCATACGGGGGGGGCATCGTACTCCAGGGGTGGCATCCTACTCAATGCAACTGTATTAAGTGGAAATATGGTACCATTTGGGTTCGAGGAAGAACAGCGTAATCCAGACTTGGCCCCGTTTACAGATGCGGAAGCTGAGCCGCCAGCCACACACGTCAAAAAATAAGCTGAACAGCTTATCCAATGGTCTGAAAAGATCCTAGAGAGAAGTTGATGATTGATGAGAGAAACAAGACTTTATGATTATGTTTATTCAAGAAATCATTGCTTGAGAAGGTTCTCAGCGGGGTTAAACATGTGCGATTGGACATGACAGCACGTGACAAGGGAGCGCCTGACAAGGGTCACACAACCTTATTCTCATCATCAAAGGTCGTTAATTATTTTCCAAATTTCCGGAGCTATTTTGGCATGGAATATGAACAGCCTTGGAATATGGGTAAGGTTTTGCTAGAATTCTGTGAAGTCGTCGTGAGAAAAGCACGCAGTCCCCACCACTTTGCTTATCAAAAATCAAATGCATCTTTCCCGGTCTTTCCTGTGCCAAACAAATGCATCTTTATCTGGGGGGCGATGTTTGGGCATACATGTTTTTATAAGGAAATGTGGTTTAAATACAAAAAAAGAACACGTCTGTCAATAAAAATATATACCTATATATATATGTGTGTGTAGTTATATATGTTCCTATGTGTTAAGAAACGCGGCTTCTTCGTCTGGGTCCAGGGGACAAAGATCTGATTCCCATGTTGATCAAAGAACTCCACTTCGTGCAGGTCCCAACTTGCCGAACAATAAGGAGAAGAGATGGGGCCGCCATTGGACATCTTCAAATACTTCACCGGAGTCACCTCCGAAACAACGGAGGTGAAGGTCTTTGTTGGATTGAAACCTTAACTGGTTGGTGGTTGACCTACCCCTCTGAAAAATATGAAAGTCAGTTGGGATGATTATTCCCAATATATTGAAAAGTAAAAAATGTTCCAAACCACAAACCAGCTAAACATTGAAGATGCTTAATAACTTATGTTGTCATTACAATGATAAAATAGAAATGACATCTAACAAAAGTTATTAAGGACATATCAATGACACAAACATGACATCTATATAAATGACATATAAATGAAATCAAACATGCTCACCACACAAAACAGTTGCAGAATTCTCCTCTAACCCCAGAGCCCCCAGCTTTTGAGGCTTTTAAATGAAATTTCATAGACCCCAAAGGCCGCAAGCATGATGAATGAAGATCACCATACTTTTCTTTAGATACATTACCATACCCAAATGCTCCATGGTGCTGGTATATTTACCTACAAAACTGGGTGAATTTCAGGGCAAATGTTGGTAAATATTCCATGCATGGAGCATATGGATAAATTACCGGTAGATTATTGGACATCATTCGAAAAATAACGGCTGAATTACATGCCACAATGAATAAACAGCCTGGTTGCTTAAAAATAAACACATGAATATCATGAATCGTGGAATGGTTGGATGACAAATTGTTACTGGAGATGTAACCTCACAATTCAACGGGCAATGTGAGGAATGAACTAACCGACCCAAACTATCCCAAACTTAGATTGCAATATAATATATACCTGGGAACCCACAAGCCAGTTTTTTTCCCATCGTTCGGGGTTGACACGTTTTTTCTGTCATTACGGGTTTGTTGGTTCGATTGAAGGCCCGATCTGAATAACCCAAAGACGGTCTGCTAAGCTGCTATCGCGCGTGAAGTGGAAAAAAAACATGTGTATTTTTTTAAAATCCATATTTTTGGGCATTTTTCTGGCGAATTGTCGGGTTGAGTGCGTCTTTGGGCCAATTTAACAACCCACTTTCTTTGGAAGCGAGTTACAGCAGGGTTGCAGATTGTCAGGCTGGGGCCATCTGCCGTGACTCTCAGCAAGGCTGAAAGCAGCAGAAAAATGGACGCCATTGGCTACGCCATGGCAGGCCGCTCTGGCTTCATTGGGGTTGTAGTTGCTGATACCCTCTGGTAAACTAACATAGCTATGGAAAATCACCATTTTCAATAGCTATGTTGGTTTACCAGAGGGTAATCACCTTCTGGTGGGATTTTTAATGATTGTTATGGTGATTCATGGGGATTTAACCACACAACTTGATGGTAATTTTTTGGGAATCACATTATATATTATTTAACGCGGCTATGGCAATTTGTCATTTATAGAGGATTATATGTGATTTCCTATACATATAACTGTTTAAGTGGGTAGTGGTAGTAACATGTAGTAACCCAAAAAATGAGAAAACTATAGAAAAGTAATTTAGAACTATTTGAATGGTAGGATTTTCCTTTTTCTATCGTTTTGGGGATTGCTATACAGTGGTTTGTGGGGCTCCCTGCATAGCTAAGTTGCTTTACAACTTCAAGACCTGTGAGATTCTTTGAGCGCAAAAGTCGCGGGCAAACGTCTGCAGCTGCGGGGATGGGAGGCCCAGGAAGCTGGTTCAGTGGTTGATGGGGTGTCCATGTTGATCTCTATGCAGCTAACCAGTGAAGTTGCTGAAACTGCCCAGCAAATGGGCTGATGATGACTATAGAATGATGATCTGAAACTGAATCCCTCTAAATTAAATCGGGTGAGTGATTTCAACCCCCACTGAAACATATTAGACATTGAGTAAGTGGCAGCACGGACAAGGGCAAATTCCAACTGAGGCAGCAATAATCCACGAAGAAAGAAGAGGAGCCAACAAATCCGACAGAAGGAGATTCGAACCTGGTACAAATCAATTACTCTTGGGTGGTGGGAAAATAGTATATCAATGTATAGAAATGTATGCAGATATATTATATATTATTATATATATAATATATCTGCATACATTTCTATACACATACAATATGTAATATACATGCATAATTATTCATATATATTCAATGTTATACACCATTTCGGGATGATTTTTCCATTTACCCAGCCAAGTCTGCATTTTCAGTGTCTGGCTGAGATGGCAAATCCCTTGTTTTGTTCACTCCGGAGTCTTCTTTTACCACAAATCAAACATGGCTGGAAAATCCCTGAACTAAATGGAGGTTTCGTTCGCTGGGAAAATCATCTGTAGGTGATATTGTTCATTGCCATGATTCATTACCGGACAGTAGCCATCTTAGTATTGGAATGTATTGGGTCTAATTATTCCTTTTGGGGTTCCTACAGTGTGTACGTTCGTTTTTGCAAATACTGGGAACGTTTCTTTTGCGGGATTTCTAGTGTTGGCTGAATTTCGAAAGGCTCCTTCCTCCTATGGGTGCACCCGTCTCAAAAACAACAATCCCTACGCGCAAATCGTCTTTTGATGATGCGTGCACTGGTCCATAGTATGAATGTTCCGCTGTCTTTGACGCCAAACCATGCCTAGTGAACCAGTTTTATTGATGTAGGACCAATGTAGGGAAACTCCACTACCATGTTGCTATAGTTTGCTTGGGTTTTCATGGATTTCCCTGGTTCCAGGCCTAAAAACGATAAAAATGCAGTGGAGGATTTTTGGGTCGAATCCATGGGTGCAACCTGGCATGTTTGCTTCAATAGTAAGGCAAAGATCTATTAAGAGTTTCCTAGCCAGGTGATAGTTGATTACTACTACTAGCTTTTTCTCCCTCTGGAACCGATCAACACAGACAAATGTATTTTCAAGTACATGGTACATAGCAATGGAAAGACAAAAAGAGACAACATGTCATAAGTTCCCCAGTAGAAAATTGGAAAAAATGGATACCCATCCTTAGCTCTCTCCTAACCATCAAATATAGCCAGTACATTGGACATGTTCCTACAAAGCCACAGGTGACACACAGAGCTGCACGCCGCAACACAAATTTGCAACTGGACAAATGCGCTCCGTACGGTGAATGGCTCGACGTCTTGAACGCAAGAGCTCGAACTTTCAGAAAGTGTCCAAGCCTTTGAATCAAATTCGGATAAAGGCTTGCAAATGGTTGGGCCCTCTCTGCAAACAGATCCACTGAATCGATGACATAACTCTTGAGCATGCAACTTAAGTGACATAACTCTTGTTTTCCAAACCATCCACGTGTACCACCATGGAAATCAGCCATCCACCGATCAAACACGGTATGGAAATCAGAAAACCATCAGACCCAGACCACAAGCGTGGGTCCCTGTTGGACCCCATGGGACCCCGTCATCTCGCCCAAACGAGCAGCAGCAAGCAGCAAACAGCTGATCTTGGTTGGTGGATTCAATGAGTCTACCATCGCAAAACATGTGGTTATTAACGTTATTAACCAACAAGCACATGGAAAGTAAAATCGAACTAAAAGGATACGGATACTGTATAATAGGCTAGCGAACATGGATTGCACACACGTGATTTTGACATATTTCGACCCTTAACAAAATGAGTGAATTGCCATCACATTTTCGGGAATGAAGAATCAAACACAATTGTCAAACCCAAGCAGTATCCTAGCAGCTCGTAGTCACCCCAGATCCGGGATTCTCTAGGAGACCTACCTACGGTAGTAAGCCCCAAACATGATCATACCACATACCACGGATGTAGCAGCTGGCTGGCTGTTGATATGGGTGGCAAAAAAAATGCAAAAAGACTATATGTATTAGCTAAGCAACAAAATTAGCAACTGAGACCATGTATGTTGGTGGCGGCTGCGAGCACCCGGACAAAGACGCCAACATCTTGTAGTGAACACTGCAAAACTGTTGGACTTGCGTAACCTTTTCACATCTCAATATGGAACCAGAAATAGCAGGTGGCTATGGATTCTCAAGTCTTCAACAGTTTTATCCCCATGACTAACTATGCCTAAACTCCTAAACCCCGTGTTCATGGTGCAAACTTACATCTTTGTTGCTTGGACTTCTGTTTTTTCTCACTCAGTGACATGATCGAACTGTTTCAAGTTTACCCACAAGTGGGGAAGAGGACAAGGTTTAAACACCAGAAAGGCATGGTCAACCGCACACACACACTTTGGTAAACTCCATAATGGAGAGGGTGAAATGAGATGAAGTGATAACCGTCATGTCGTGTTGTTACATTAGCATGTCATGTCATGTCATGTCATGGCATGTCGGCATGGGTGGTTTTTGGCTTGGCCACCTTGCCATTTCGGATGCAGGTACGTTTTCACGACGACATAGATGGGTCTTCGTTGGCCCGTGCCATCTATGCGTCCACGGGCCCCCTGCTTTTCCCTTTGATTCAGGGTTTCTCACACACAGCAAGCCACTAGGGCACGATGTTTCCATTCCGCTGCTTGTTCTCTTAGATCCAAGGTTTCCACTTAGACGTATATCAAGCCGCTGGACACGATTTTTCCAAGAACAACTTCCCTCGGTGTGGTTGTTTTGGACTGAATGCGAAGAAAATGACCCCTCAGCGCTGTTGGTCTTGTGTCCCATATGTCGAAAACCAAATTACAAACAAACCAAACTTTTTTGGAGTTGAAACTGAACGGATAAGACTGGTGGTTTGAAGTGAATATATTAGGTATAAAATCAAGTCTCCTGCTTGACCAAAGAACCAATCAGCAAGTATGCCGAAGAAGCAATGTCGGTTTGTAGATCTGTGTCGTCTGCGTCGCCTGGTGGTGGATCTGTGCTTCTTGCGTGTGGTGCGAGATCGTGTACGGCTGTGCTTGTTGTGACTCAGTGGTGGAGTTGAAGCTGTAGTGGTTGGAAATTGCTGTGAAAATGGCGTGGCTGGTACTGGTTGTACTAGTGTTGTGCTTGTTGACTGTGGTGTAGACTGGTAAGTGACGAATGATCCATATTGTGGTGGTGAGAGCTGAAGATTGGGTATGGCTGCATTGTAATGTGGTGGTGGCTGAAGACATGGCATGGCTGTGCTGTGATGTTGTGTGTTGAAAGCATAGAGGTTGTGTAAACGCAGAGTTGGCAAATGGTGCTTGTGTTGGCTGTGGGACGGTGTGTCCCATAAGTTGTTGTGGTTGTTGTTGTGGAGTTGGAGCAAAAGGCTGTCTGAAAGCTGCAGTGGCACACTGTGGTTGCATTGAGTGTGGTATAGTGTGTCCGGCTGGATCATGTTGTTGTGGAGTCTGAGAGAATGTTGGTAGAAAGGTGCTGATGCTTGTGTGTTCTGTGATGCTTGTGTGTTGCACATAAGTCGTCGTCGAAGCTGAGCGTAGAGCCGGTGTCCGATTCCCAAATAAGTGGTGCGTAGTGCTTGTCGTAAGTGTGGTGTTGAGTGTTGTTTTGTGACTTGTCGTTGTAAGATAAACGGGTAGTTGAATGGTGGACACCACTTTTGGATGATGTAGCTTTCCAGCGTTCGTGTTTGTAATGTTGTATTGGTGGGTAACAACGGCAATGCGACAAATTGATGATAGTTGTTTTGGCTGCAAAACCAATGGAGTGCCAACTTGCATGACACAGGTTGTGCTCGTTTTAATTGTCTGAGCTTGCGTTGTCTGGTGTTCTGACGGTCGTGTAGCGTGTGTATGGTACTGCCGATGTAGTGTTGTTCGATAAGCAACAGTGTCATAGAAATCGTCAGGTGGAAAATGTTGTAAGAATCCGAAAAACACAACGCATGCCGCCGAAAACTGTACATGATCCGGATCGCCGCGGTCTAGTCACTCTAGTATCTCTAGTTGAGTGACCGCAAACAGCGGCAGCTTGTAGAGCTCCTCATTGCGCGCCTTTGCCGCCAGCGCCACCGGCAAACCAAGCGATGCTGCTTTGTCTGCAAACGTGCTTTGCTCGGCTTTTGGGATGTTCTTCATAAGTTGATGCAATGTGCTCAATGCCTCCTGAAGGGCTGCTTGGTGTTGTTTTGGAACTGGCTGTTTTTTTAATCCAAGCGTCCACTGTTTTGGTTACGAGTGTGTGCGGTGCGGCTGTGGTGAAAGGACGTGTGGTGTTTGTGCCTGGTAGATTTTGGATGCTATCCTGTAGGTCGGTGATTGTGGTTTGTCGAGGAGCATCACTTACACTGCGAGGAGTGGTGGTGTGTGCTGAGGTAGTAGTGTTTTCCGCACCGCTTGCTTTGATGCCCATGTCCATCCAATTGGACCATCCCATGTATGCCAATTGACGTAGGTGGATACTTTCGATGGGTTCGGCCTGCAAGTTGGTACCTTTGGCTCCAAGCTGTGGATGTGATTTGGCGTGGAAACGTCAAGCCATACTGGTGTTTGGTGTCAAAGTGTTCATTGTCTGGCTGGAAACTGCTCGGTAAGTTGCGGTCGTACCGCTTTGTGCCTTGTGGGCTCGGTGGTTCGTTCCAATGCTGGTGTTGTGTGTGTGCTTGAAATGCTCTTGGTGGTGTGTTGACTTGGTATTGTTTCGAATGCCAAGAATCATACGGTCTCATGCTGCCGCGCCACGAGGTCATGGTTGCACTCAAACAACGAAAAAACGTGAAGGTGTCTTGATGATTGCGATAATATTTACTTTTGAGCACGGAGATTGCTATCAGAAACAAAGTCCGAAACAGAGATTGCTATCAGAGACAACATCCGAAACAAAATTGGAACAATGGATGAAATTAGGCAATTAGGATTTGATAACATCAACAATGTTAACACATGTGACGCTTAGAATTACAATGGGTGACGACATGTTGGCAAGACTCTTCAAAACAGTTCCAAACGGCTTGGTGGAAGTACACTGTACATCGGCTCTTTTTGTTGGTTCCGCTGATATGTTCTATGCCACGTGTCACCAGGAAGATTTCACAAGGGATATTATTTATATCACAAGGACACATTATATTTATAGGAAGGTGGAGATTCTTGAAAATTAATAAATTCGATAAAAATGGCATATCATATTGTAATATAAACGGAGGTGAAACTGGCGTATCAGCAGCCTCTCATTTGCACGTCTGTCGGCAGCAGCTGCGGCTCGCCAAACTCATCTTCATGCTCAAGCATGTGCTGTACTGGTGTGGAGAAGTTTGGATCAGGCTTAAGGATCCAAATGCTGGAGATGTGTGCCAGTGTTGAGTGAATGCACCAGCGGCGATCCCGTGGTCTGTGGACTATGCCGTGAGTGTCCACTTCTTCTTGTTCGGCCCATCCAGATTCGTTTGTGGCATGTGCCCAGTGGTAGTAGGCGTTGCCTGCTTGTGATAGTGATGTTGTGGTGTTGCGTGGCATGTTTTGTAAGTGTAGTTGCCACATTCTGAATTGTTGGTGCTGGTGAAATGTGATGTGGGTAAGTGTGTTGTTGATAGGCATGCCGGTTGTGACGATGTACTTTGCTAACGTTGTGGTGATGTCTTCTTGTGGTAGGTCGATGCCTGCTGGAAATCGTGTTTCCAACCAAGCTGTCATGTCACGTACACTTTTGTCCCGATCTGATAAGAATCGGAAGTATACTGACGGTGCTGTGAGCTCACGGGCTTGGAGTGTTGCTGAGTGAAGGCGTTGCTCTAACTCTTGGTACTTGAATATCTGGTAGCTGTCACGCGTGGGAGGTTCCCACGGAATGAGGACTGACGGATCCTGTTGTATTTGTCGTTCGATGGCTTCTTGAAGGTGATCAATTGCTTGTGTTGGCTGTGGTTCGTTTGTAGTGTTGGTGGTGTCAAGTGGTGTTGGTGGTGTGTGTTGCTGGCGAGGTGTGAGGTGGGCTTGTCCCGCTGTGACAGTCTTTGATGTTGTGGTGTTGTAAATGTTCTTGGACTTGGCGATGGACCTGATTTGGTCAGCCAGGCTAGTCGGTGGTGGTACTTTGGGAGGAAGCAAAGGAGGCGGCGGAGGTGGTTGTTGATGAGGAGTGGGAGAAGTGGAGAACAGGTGTTTACCTGTGTGTTCTGATGGTAACGGTGGTGGTGGAAGAGATGGTAGTTGTGTTGTTGTTGGTGGTGGTAGTGGTGAAGTGTGGTGATGTGGTGACGTGTGTTGCTGAGAAGATGCTGCTGGTTTGTGTCCGGTGTGTGATCGATGGTTGGATTTGGATCTGTCAGTGTTTGAGGGATGTTGCCTGCGATGTGAACGATGCTGGCGTCGACGTTGTGATTGGTGTTGTGATTTGTGGTGTCGTGAGTGATGTCGTTTCGTAGATTTGCGTCGGCTGGGTCGCCTGGTAGTGGATCTGTGCTTCTTGCATGTGGTGAGAGATCGCGTACGGCTGTGCTTGTTGTGACTCCGTGGTGGAGTTGAAGCTGTAGTGATTGGAGATTGCTGTGAAACTGGTGTGGCTGGTAGTGGTTGTACTAGTGTCGTGCTTGTTGAGTGTGGTGTAGGCTGGTAAGTGAGGAGTGATCCATATTGTGATGGTGAGAGCTGAGGATTGGGTATGGCTGCGTTGTAATGTGGTGGTGGCTGAAGACCTGGCATGGCTGTGCTGTGATGTGGTGTGTTGAAAGTGTGACAAGATGGAGGTTGTGTAAACGCAGAGTTGGCAAATGGTGCTTGTGTTGGCTGCGGGACGGTGTGTCCCAGAAGTTGTGGTTGTTGTTGTTGTGGAGTTGGAGCAAAAGGCTGTGTGAAAGCTGCTGTGGTACACTGTGGCTGCATTGATTGTGGTAAAGTGTGTCCGGCTCGATAATGTTGTGGTGGAGTCTGAGAGAATGTTGATAGAAAAGGTGCTGATGCTTGTGTGTTGTGTGATGCTGAACTCATCCACTGGGCAAACAAATCAGCTGCCGTCATCGCGGGCTGCATGGTCGGAATCACGAAGCTGCAAGCGCTGCACATGTCAATCTTCAATGTGGCCATGATGTCAAATCGAAAGTTATCTAACTCATGTTATTACTCAACATGGCATGATGATTCACATTCATGGCTTTCAAAGGTGATTGGAGTGAGTGGAACTGGATCGAATATGGCGTTGCATGTCAAATGAGCGTTGGCTTTGCTCAGCAAGAATGTGGAGGTGAACCCAAGCTGTGGTGTGCTTGGAAAGATTGTGGTTGTAAAATTGGAAAACTTGTTGATATCTGTGCTTCTTGCGTGTGGTGCGAGATCGTGTACGGTTGTGCTTGTTGTGACTCAGTGGTGGAGTTGAAGCTGTAGTGGTTGGAAATTGCTGTGAAACTGGTGTACTAGTGTCGTGCTTGTTGAGTGTGGTGTAGGCTGGTAATTGAGGAATGATCCATATTGTGGTGGTGAGAGCTGAGGATTGGGTATGGCTGCGTTGTAGTGTGGTGGTGGCTGAAAACCTGGCATGGCTGTGCTGTGATGTGGTGTGTTGAAAGTGTGACAAGATGGAGGTTGTGTAAACGCAGAGTTGGCAAATGGTGCTTGTGTTGGCTGTGGGACGGTGTGTCCCAGAAGTTGTGGTTGTTGTTGTTGTGGAGTTGGAGCAAAAGGCTGTGTGAAAGCTGCTGTGGTACACTGTGGTTGCATTGATTGTGGTAAGGTGTGTCCGGCTGGATAATGTTGTTGTGGAGTTTGAGAGAATGTTGATAGAAAAGGTGCTGATGCTTGTGTGTTGTGTGATGCTGAACTCATCCACTGGGCAAACAAATCAGCTGCCGTCATCGCGGGCTGCATGGTCGGAATCACGAAGCTGCAAGCGCTGCACATGTCAATCTTCAATGTGGCCATGATGTCAAACCGAAAGTTATCTAACTCATGTTATTAGTCAACAAGGCATGATGATTCATGTTCATGGCTTTCATGTTGCGCCATGTGAACTACGTGATGATTCATGTTCAGGGTTTTCATGTTGCACCATGTAAACTACGCGAAAACCATAAACTGGTCTCAGCGAGACTAACGAGTCATGTCTGTAAAAAGCCGCGAGCAGTCATGCATGGTATCCGTGTTGCAATCATACTACTAGTTCATGTGTAGAGGTCAAGGTTAAGAGTGAAAGACGGTCGTGTTAGTTAAACAAGTAGAACCACACGGGATGACACGGGGTTATTCTGAGGGATGAAAATTTCACTCTGGATTTATTCTGACGTGGACTCTGGATTTATTCTGGCGTGGACTCTGGATTTATTCTGAAAAGCATTCAATCCCCTGATGGAGTCTTCTGGATGCTTGTGCGGACTCTGGATGCTTGTGCGGAACTGGCTTCTGGCAACATTATGTCTGGATTTATTCTTGTAACCTGGTATCCCCGGCGGACGCACCACCAAGCTTCCCCGGCACTTTGTCAGAGATCCGGGTGCATGAAAGACACACTTTGGTAAACTCCATAATGGAGAGGGTGAAATGAGATGAAATGATAACCGTCATGTCGTGTTGTTACATTAGCATGTCATGTCATGTCATGTCATGGCATGTCGGCATGGGTGGTTTTTGGCTTGGCCACCTTGCCATTTCGGATGCAGGTACGTTTTCACGACGACATAGATGGGTCTTCGTTGGCCCGTGCCATCTATGCGTCCACGGGCCCCCTGCTTTTCCCTTTGATTCAGGGTTTCTCACACACACATACAATACCTTCATGAATATGCAAATAATTATATACACACATACAACATGAGTATACCTTCATGTGCACATGCAGTTACATGCAAATCGGTATGTGTGTATGTATGTCTGTATGCATGCATGCATGTGTTTGTGTGTATGTGTATGCGTATGCATATGTGTATGTCTATGTGTACGTATGCTACATATCTATGAACATATAGTATATATATATACATATACAAATATATATATATATATGTAATCGCGTGCACAATCTTAAAACACATACACACCAATAATCAAGGCATTATATATATATATAATATGCATCTATTCAGAGATACTCACAAACATGTAAAACGTTTGTACCCTTGAACCCCAAGTGCCCAGCAACAAAGCTCCGCAGGCATTCGGATAATGGCTGGTACTGGCGTCATTCCATTGCCTGGACGCAGGAACTGTTCAGCAGGAACTGGGTACCCTCTGGTAAACATGCAAAAAACGTATGGAAAATCACAATTTTTAAGAGGTAAATCATCTTAAAATCACAATTTTTAAGAGGTAAATCATCTAAATTCACCATTTTTGATATGTAAATCATCCAAAATCACCATGTTTAATGGGTAAATCAACTATTTCTATGGTCATTTTTAAGTTCGCAAACTGTAACAGTTTCTGTTAGTTTACCAGAGGGTATGTCACGGTTTTTCAGACACCGGTGGCTACAGGGTGGTGCCCTAGAGGTATAGCTTGCTTTAACCCATCGTATTGCCATAAATCCATCGTTGAACGACGTATAACATGTTTAACTGACCTTAGGGGGGGGCAATTTATCCAATTTTTATGGGGGTATTTTTATGGGATAACGTTTTTTGTGCAATTTGATGGACGGCGGAATATAAATCAAGAAATTGTTGCGAATCCTGGTGATAAAAGGATACACATAGGGAATTTATATGGATTTATGGGATATATCACATCAACCATTGGTGAGCAACAAACTTAGATAAAATGGGATAACTCTGTCAACTTCGGGCCAATCCGTAAGTGGCTAGTAAGCATTCTACAATCTAGTTGTACATGGCATAAGCCAAAGCTCTGCACGGGATATTCAAAACTTGAAAAATAATTCCAAAATGAAGCTGTTTAAACAACAACTAGTAACTAGTTGAAAAACAAGCAGAACAAGGTCTATTTAGACTTACTAGGACGCACATCCAAACCATCCAAGCAAACAAGCAGCTGGCCGCAATACCATTGTTCCGTGGTGTTTAGCTCGGAGGCGCAGCCGCTGGCGTTACACGTGATGCTTGTGTGGTCCAGGGATGCGTTGAGTTCTAAAGCCTCGGCTACGGAGTTTCAAAGCCACGGCCCCACTTAGTAAGCTGATTTAACCCTCTGGGTATAACTTAATTTGGCCTGCAAACGCTGGATTTCTTTTGCTATTTGGTTGTCAATTTTTACCTTTCAGGTTTGTCGTTTGGGATTTGTGTTAAAATTTTACTGTCATTTTTCGTCATGTTATTGTCGTTTTGGTTTGGGAAATGAAAAAAAATATATTTTAAAATTACTCCCAATCTGGCAAATGCAAAAAAGGCATCAAAACGACATAACAATGCAAAAACACGAAACGCAAATGACAAACAATATGGCTGAAAAAATGATTCGCGTGCCGTCAAAATAATGACGTTTTTTGGACTTTCCAGGTCGGCTCCAGATACAGCCACCCGCGCCGAATGAGAAAACGACAAGAAAACTACGGCAAGAAAACGACAAAAATACACAATAAAATGACACACAATAAAAATACACACATACAACAAAATAACACAAATGTACCTGACAATAACAAAAATGATGACAACAAAATAACACACAATAATGACAACAAAATGACACACACACAATGATAACAAAATGGCAAAACAAATGCACAACAAAACAGGAAGCCCAAAAAATGACAAAATCAACTGACAAAAATAGGTATTCAAAAACCTTCAGAGTTTGCTGGTAAGATTCTCATAAATTTGACTAGCCCTACTTAACCTACTTATCCTACCTATGGGGTAAAAACATGTTATAACCATCACCGAGTAACAATCAAAATGTGTGGTTTCAAGCAGAAAAAATGATTTTGATCTATAAAGAAAGTCCTGAACTGCAAAACATGGGGTATAAAACAAACGTGGCGGTATAACGGGGATTTAATGGGGGCACAATGGAATATGTAGTGGAACATAGTGGAACCATGTTTTTTCAATGGGTTGGTTGAAAGTAAAATGGGAAATGTATGGAAATGTTGGGCGGGCTTCCCAGACAGCAGTGATACAGGTAATTGGATAGATGGACTTGACATGACTTGACCCTTACCCATACCATCCATCTCTGATATATATATATTACCTTTCTCCTGCTGAGTTTTGGAAGTAAATGTAGGTAAGTATGCCACACATCTGGATACATTATAATTAGAGTAACTCATCTAACTGAACACGGCAATTTGAGGATGATTGCCCATACTAAGCACAACCTATAGTGACGTCGCAGTGAGGTAGTTATGGTTACAATTCAATGTAATTCATCCAGACATGTGGGTTCAACATACACCCGTGGGTTTCGATAGCTACCCTCTGGAAACTCAGCATAGCTATGGAAAACCACCATTTAAGTTGTTTTGGGGATGCATGTGCATGCCCTAATACAATGAGTCGCTGCAATGAACAATTTGTACCCACCCCGAATGGCCGAGCACAATCATTGTGAGGGTGGCCTCTAGCCATTGGACGTGCTGGTCTCAAGGGGAACCAGCTTCAAAGGAACGTGTATCATGGGTCAGAAGCATATGAGAATGATCACGCTTCGCGAGGGAATTCAACCACTTAAGAGCTAGGTAAACCACCAAACTAAACGGGCCATCTATACCATAGCTATGTTAAATAACCAGAGGGTAAATCCCATGAATATCCCCATGTTTCTTAGTTTAGTCTCCATTAATCACCAGAGAATCCTATGATATAATAATTATATAGTTCCCATTTGTTCCCATTTTATAATCCCCTTGCCAATGCACGGGTTTAACCTGGGCGTTCCAATTTTATAGGGGGCCCAGGCCTATCCTTTGAAAATGCCCTTTTGGGACCCTCTACAAAATTAAAATCTTGACAGACACATACATAATCAGCCCTATAAAATCACAACCTGCTAGTAACCCATCAACGTCATCAAACCCAAAAACACTACAAAATTGCAGTGCCCAGGTTAAACTTGTGCAGGGTATTAGCTCCAAATTGGCCTCTATAAAATTAGGGCCATCCAAAATGGCTTGATCATAGGTGGTTTTTGTTATTAAAATTTGGTGTCCCAAGTCGAATTTTGGGGGCCCTCTATTTTCCTTCGATTCTGTGGTCCCCAATTCTATCTCAGTTTAATAATGCCCCAATTCTGTAGACTGAAGTTTTGGGGTCATCAATCGAAGGCACAAAAGTCAAACCATTTCAAACCAACTATTGTAATCATTGAAAGACATAGGCTGCTGTTTCTGCAGCTCAAGCTGCTGAGGCTGCTGAGGCTGCTTCTACAGTGCCTTTGCATGCCTTTGCCTCGTGGAATCCTTTTGGAGAGCACCTCCCCTATAGAATTGGAGCCCCTGATCGAAGGCAGTTTTTAGGGACTATAAAATTGCAGCCCTCAAGGTCCACCCAAAACCTTCGATCAGGGGCTCCAATTCTATAGGCGGGGTGCTCTCCAAAAGGATCCCGCAAGGCAAAGGCATGCAAAGGCACTGTAGAAGCAGCCTCAGCAGCTTCAGCTGCAGAAACAGCAGTCCCTAATTTTATAGTGGGGATATATGTGATGATATGATATAAAATGATATGTGATGATATGATATAAAATGATATGTGATGATATGTGGGGATTTGATGGGATTTGATTGGATTTGATGGGATTTGATGGCTTCTTACATCGTGCTTCTACATGCTTTAAGAAAAACCAAAAAATGCAAAAAAATGTCAGGTTTTGGGTGGACCTTGAGGGCTGCAATTTTATAGTCCCTAAAAACTGCCTTCGATCAGGGGCTCCAATTCTATAGGGGGGGTGCTCTCCAAAAGGATTCCACGAGGCAAAGGCATGCAAAGGCACTGTAGAAGCAGCCTCAGCAGCTTCAGCTGCAGAAACAGCAGTCCCTAATTTTATAGTGGGGATATGTGCTGATATGATATGAAATGATATGTGATGATATGTGGTGATTTTATGGGATTTGATGGGATTTGATGGCTTCTTACATCGTGCTTCTACATGCTTTAAGAAAAACCAAAAAATGCCAAAAAAATGTCAGGTTTTGGGTGGACCTTGAGGGTTGCAATTTTATAGTCCCTAAAAACTGCCTTCGATCAGGGGCTCCAATTCTATAGGGGGGGTGCTCTCCAAAAGGATCCCACAAGGCAAAGGCATGCAAAGGCACTGTAGAAGCAGCCTCAGCAGCTTCAGCTGCAGAAACAGCAGTCCCTAATTTTATAGTGGGGATATATGTGATGATATGATATGAAATGATATGTGGGGATATGTGGTGATTTGATGGGATTTGATGGGATTTGATGGCTTCTTACATCGTGCTTCTACATGCTTTAAGAAAAACCAAAAGATGCCAAAAAAATGTCAGGTTTTGGGTGGACCTTGAGGGCTGCAATTTTATAGTCCCAAAAACTGCCTTCGATCAGGGGCTCCAATTCTATACGGGGGGTGCTCTCCAAAAGGATTCCACGAGGCAAAGGCATGCAAAGGCACTGTAGAAGCAGCCTCAGCAGCTTCAGCTGCAGAAACAGCAGTCCCTAATTTTATAGTGGGGATATGTGATGATATGATATTAAATGATATGTGATGATATGTGGGGATTTGATGGGATTTGAAAGGATTTGATGGCTTCTTACATCGTGCTTCTACATGCTTTAAGAAAAACCCAAAAATATGTCAAACAAATGTCAGGTTTTGGGTGGACCTTGAGGGCTGCAATTTTATAGTCCCTAAAAACTGCCTTCGATCAGGGGCTCCAGAATCCTTTTGGAGAGCACCCCCCCCCTATAGAATTGGAGCCCCTGATCGAAGGCAGTTTTTAGGGACTATAAAATTGCAGCCCTCAAGGTCCACCCAAAACCTGACATTTTTTTGCCTTATTTTTGTTTTTTCTTGAAGCATGTAGAAGCACGATGTAAGAATCCATCAAATCCCATCAAATCCATTCAATTCCCATGTTTTGTTACATGTTTTTGTTCATGTTTTCCTCTTTTCCAGCATGCGCATTGCGCATGCTTGAGCGCTCTGATGTAGAAAAAACATGCAAAAACAAATAGGTGCTATAAAATTGGGACCCTGGAATGCATTACATTGCAGGTAGCTACAAAATTGGAACCCTTTGGTTCATGAAACCATGCATTGATACACTATAAAATTGGCAACTGAACAAAACCATACAAAACCGACACATGTCCCTATAGAATTGGAGCCTGCTATAAAATTGGAGCCCTAGGTCACTAAATTTAAGCACCGAAAAAAAAAATAAAATTAGGACCCGGAGTTTTGAGATAAAATTAGAGCCCGCCAAAACAAGGCAAACAGGGCAGCTGAAATTGAGGGGGGACCTGTATAAAAAAATCGTTTTATACAGCACCTAGGTGTCCCAATTCTATAGGGGAAACTGGCTGGGGGATATTTTATATATATACATATATGTGCGGTTGTCAAAACCCCTTGTTCATGAAACGGACATCAACATAATTTGGGAGGGCCCCATCCTTAACCACAGTTTCGTAGCAATTTTACCATCATTATACCAATTATACCATATCGATTTACAGGGGTATCGCTAAGGCTAAATGCAGCTAATACTAGTCATACTCCTCTGTACTACTAGTATTGATTATACCAAGATATTGGGAGTACTAGAGGTGCTAGCAGCGCTAGTACTAGTAAAAGTAGTACAGAGAATTGGAAGTACTAGAGATATTAGCAAGGCTAGTAACACAATCCTGGTGATAGTAGCAGGAAATCTAATAATCGCACTAGTAGTAGCAGTAGTGGTAGTAATAGTTGTAGCAGTAGAGGTAGTAGCGGTAGTAGTGATAGTAGTGGTAATAGTACAAGCAATAGTAGGCGAGGTAGTAATATCCCCGTTTGGGGCTCCTGGATGAAAACCAGGAACTGGAGCCTGTTTTTTTTTACCCGATTTCAGCCAAATTTAGCCCCAAGAATGTTAGGCCTCAGCTTTTTATCTTTTGGTCCCTTTTTAAATATTTTAGAATTTTGATGTTAAATAAACCATGAAGCCAAAGGATTTCATCCGAGGGAACACCTCTTGAGAGCATTTTTGCAATAGGTTGGGCGCAGGTAGTTTAAGCCACTGAAGCTTACTGAGAACCATTTTTGGCCTGAAGGTTGCACACAGGTTTTCATTCGACCGTGTCTTCTTGCAAGGCTCGACATTTTTTCCGCCTATACGGTGAACATTGAAATTTTGAGAGGTGTATCTTGGGAGTTGGGATGAGGATGGGTTTGCAAAATTGACTCATTAGTCGTTTGTGGTGATCTTGGGACGTTGGTACAGGATGGGTTGGCTCACATGCGTGGTGTAATATGGAGAGCTGCTCCGGCAAAGATCAAAAGAGGGATGTGTGAGATGAAAATCTTGGGGTCTGAGGTTTTGTGGTGTGTCTTTGGAACGTTGGTTCAGGATGGGTTGGCTCACATGTGTGGTGTAACATGGGAGCTGTTCCGGAAAAGTTCAAAACAGATGTGTGAGATGAACATCTTAGGGCCTGAGGTTTTGTGGTGTAGGTTCAGGGTTGGCACACATGCGTGGTGTCATCTGTTCCGAGTTGTTCCGGCAAAGTTCAAAACAGGGATGTGTGAGATGAAAATCTTGGGGTCTGAGGTTTTGTGATGTATCTTTGCCACATTGGTTCAGGGTTGGCTCACATGCGTGGTGTAATATGGAGAGCTGCTCCGGCAAAGTTCAAAAGAGGGATGTGTGAGATGAACATCTTGGGGTCTGAGGTTTTGTGGTGTATCTTTGCCACATTGGTTCAGGGTTGGTACACATGCGAGGTGTAATCTGTTCCGGCAAAGTTCAAAACACGGATGTGTGAGATGAAAACGTTCGGATCTAAAGTTTGTAGTGTGTCTTGGGACGTTGGTTCAGGATGGGTTGGCTCACATGCGTGGTGTAACATGGAGAGCTGCTCCGGCAAAGTTCAAAACAGATGCGTGAGATGAAAATCTTAGGGTCTGAGGTTTTGTGGTGTATCTTTGGAACGTTGGTTCAGGGTTGGGACACATGCGTGGTGTCGTCTGTTTCGAGTTGTTCCGGCAAAGTTCAAAACAGGGATGTGTGAGATGAACATTTTCGGATTGAAGTTTGTAGTGTGTCTTGGGACGTTGGTTCAGGATGGGTTGGCACACATGCGTGGTGGAATATGGAGAGCTGCTCCGGCAAATTTCAAAAGAGGGATGTGTGAGATGAAAATCTTGGGGTCTGAGGTTCTGTGGTGTATCTTTGCCACATTGGTTCAGGGTTGGCACACATGCGAGGTGTAATCTGTTCCGGCAAAGTTCAAAACACGGATGTGTGAGATGAAAACGTTCGGATCTAAAGTTTGTAGTGTGTCTTGGGACGTTGGTACAGGATGGGTTGGCTCACATGCGTGGTGTAACATGGAGAGCTGCTCCGGCAAAGTTCAAGAAAAAGGGATGTGTGAGATGAAAGTCCAAGGCCAGTTTAGTGGTGTATCTTTGGGGGCTTTGGTTCAGGATGGGTTGGCACAAATGCGTGGTGTAACATGGAGAGCGGTTACCTCAAAAAGTTGTTTGTTTGATATGCCAATGTTGAAAGCTTTGGCATTTGCTATGCCAACAAGGCAGTGATGCGATGTGGGAGCGGAAGCTGGGTGGGATGAACAGAATGTGGTTGACCGTTCTCTGGGGAAGTTATGATTTTATAGTTTAAGGTTTTTTTTTGAACACACGCTGAGCACTGCTGTTTTCATCTCTTGTGCCATTTTTATTTTTAATTTTCAACATACCCCAGAGACACTGAGTTTAATCTTTTGTACCTTGATTATTCATTTTCAGAAATAGGGGTGGGGTCGGCTTTTCATCGTTTCACGTTTTTTTTGTTCATACCTTGGCCTCCAGGTTTTTAAACTAGGTGTTTGGGATGAAAACCTGGTGCTGCACCCTAAGTAATACTAATAATAGTAGTAGCAGTAGTAGTAGTAGTGGTGGTAGTAGTAGTAGTAGCAGTAGTAGCAGCAATAGTAGCAGTAGCAGGAGCAGCAGTTGCAGCAGTAGCAGTATCAGTAGCAGTAGCAGTAATTAGTAGTAGTGGTAGGAGTGGTGGTAGTAGTGGTAGAAGTAGAAGTAGAGGAGGTATTTAGTAGAAGAAGTAGAAGTAGAAGAAGCAAACGTACACTAGAAAACGTAGCAGTAGAAGTAGGTGTTCAAGTACACGTAGTTGGGGATCCTGTGCACTTCGGAATCGCTTGGGTATCGCTAAGGCATCGCTATGGTATCGCTAAAATCGACCCGTTTTTTTTGCAGAAACAGGCGGGTGCATTGTCATTTGCTTGTAAAACTGTTCCTTTCCTTTTCCCTTCCTGTCCCTTTTCTTCTTTGCCTTTTCTTTTCCTTCGCCTTTTTGTGCCCTTTTCCTTTTGTTTTCTTGTTTTTGTTTTTCTTTCCCTTTCCTTTTCCTTTCTTTTCTCTTTCCTTTTCCTTTCCTTTTCCTTTCTCTTTCCATTTCCTTTCTCTTTCCTTTTCCCTTCTCTTTCCTTTTCCTTTCTGTTTCCTCTTCCTTATCCTTTCCTGTTCCTTTTTCTTTTGGTGTCATTTTCCTGTTCTTTTTCTTTTCTTTTCCTTTCCCTTTCCTGTCCTTTTCCTGTCCTTTTCTTTTAACCCTGAGCCCAAGTCTACCATAGATGCGAGCACTTGACGAAATCAACACTCATGTCACAAAACTATCGCAGTAACTGTCATGGGGTATCGCTATTTGGAAAGGTCCCATCGCTAACCTCTCAGTTTTTTGCGCTTTCCGAAAACCAATGTCCAGCTAATACATATCTCAGTATCTGCGAGTTTTGACGGTTGCTCATATTATATATATATATACATATATATATTTATTTATATATATATATACACAATCATATTCCCAATGGGGATGGGTTCTGGCACGTCTGCCCTGCCAACTCTCCACCGAAGCGCAGCAGAGCCGTAAACGCCACTAGCTCCGGCACATTTCAGACGCAATTGGAGCATCGTGAATTCATTGTGGCCTTGATACACCTCCGCATTTGGGTCTCAGAACAGTTGGAAACCTGGAAAAAATATGGATCAGTTGGAAACCTGGAGATGATCGAAGAAACATCAGCTATTACATCTTGGAAGCGTGTTTCTGTCTTTTTGGGGATCCCTATGAACCAAAATTTGATGGTTAATTATTGTGAAGTGACATGTTCCATAATATTAAGACCCCATTCCGAGACACGCCCATTTCGGAAGATTTTGTGGGTGAGAGTGAGGCTCTGTGATTTTCATCAAGATCAAGATGTCGGCCGAGTCATCAAGGTTAACTTCCCCTTCAGTAACATGAAATTCAGAAGGAAATGCGACTCTCACAGCAACCAAATATGGATTGCTGCGCGTCAAGATTGGGTACACCCAAAGGATTTATAAAACATGGTTAGTCCATCTGTCGGTCCTGGGGGTTGTGGCCTGCATGATGCATCTCTATTCAACGATGCGCAGCAATTAAATATACAAATCGTAGAAAGAGAAAGGGAACACATACCAAAATACAGTTCTCTCTCATATCTGTGAAATTTACCAAATCTAATAAAATACAAATATAGAAATAGTGTTAGATTCTTAGATATGATGTAACTACACACATAATATATATATATATATATTTATGTGTGTAAATGTGCATATTGGAATATCAGATATATCCTCGCTATTCCCCACCTCAATCCTGGAAAGATAGCTTTCCTCTGGTAGAGTGAAGTCAATGGCCTGGGATGCAACAAATCAACTTACCCAGCATCAAACATGGAAAATCAAAGAGAATCCTCATAAATATGGGAACATCATGGGAAAATATGGAACAATATATGGTAGATATGTGGTAAAATATCCCATTTAGTTCGTTGATGTTTGCGTCTAACAACTATTTATGATTTATGGCTGGAATCCCTTATAAATTATCTGAAACTTTAAATGGAGGTTTATAGCCTCCTTAAAAAAAAAAAACAACAAAATGGGGAATTGTCCCGCACGCCATGTTTCAAGTAAACCACTGGTCTTGGGGTCCACCATGAATGAAGAAACCTCCAACAATGGATTTGACGAACAAATTGAGACTTGAAGAGCAGCAAATTCACAAAAGAAACGGGCAAGTGCGGCGAGTCAACCAAAACATTTAGGAATTTATGCCGCAAACAAAAAAAACTCGCGTAGTCAGAACTGACCCATGTGACGTGATCCAAAGAAACGTCTCTCTCTCTCTCGCAAGTTTTTGCGATTGCCGGAGGACTTGCACCATCCCAAATTAGACAAATCATCCATGAATATGAGGACATGCACCAATTGGTTTCATTTTCCCTGCCCTTACTGGAGGCACGTCCGAGGTAAATTGACAGCTTAAAGCGCCTACAATCACATTTGTTTGGAGAAACACCGCAGTTATCACACATTGATGGAATCCAAACAACCAAATCCCTTGAAACAATCACGTCTCCTTTTATGACACAACGAAGGAACAACTATTCCAATACTGTCTCAATTGGTCTTATGGGCAAACGCTAATAGGGACTGCGGCTTAGATTTGAGGGGTTTGAATAGTTGCTCATTTGTTTGACTTGTGCTTCCACATTAATTAATGAAAATTAGTATTATTTCATGTTGAAAGCCAAACATGTTTCAGAAAGTCGTAGGTGTGACAGATTTAAACCACTAGCACCAGGGGGTGAGTGGTTTAACCCCTCAGGGGGTTCCATAGGGAAAGTCAAATCTCGTAGCCCGCCTGTACGTCCATCTTCTCATCCGACCAACCTGGGATTGGAAAATGAAAATCTACAGGGAACCTCGATCTTTGGGGTGAAACATGTCCATGGTTTCCGGTGAAGATTTTCGAAAGAAAGCGAAAACCATTGTTTTTTGGGTTGTGATCCTGGAAGATTGCTCAGATATCACAAGTAGCCTCATATGACTCATACCTGCATTCCGATGAAAGGGGTAGATGGGATGATTGGACTATGGTCATCCCATGAGAATCCTTATCTACTTGGTGTCACTTGGTGTCTGTATTTATAATATGGTAATACGTGAAAGAACTGATGACCATCCCATAAGGACCATGGCACAGAATGAGCACTGACCATGGCACATCTAATTTCAGTGTAGGTCTTGTGAGTTTTTTGCTCGCCCACGAGACCTGGATTTTTCCTTGTTTGCTGTACGCGGCTGCCAGGGTAAATGTCAAACTGTTGGGACGCAGGTGCAGGAATACGAACTTCTGATGCTCAGAACATAACCTGGACTTTTATTCCTGGCCAATGGGAACATCATTTAATATCATTGATACATTCAAAAAACAGCAAATCATGGAGCTGATTACCAAAGGGTAGTTACCTTTTAAAGTGGAATTCCGTTTAAATCCGTTTAAGGCCTCGCCGAGCCAATTGAGTTTTCCTACGCCGAAAGCGTAAGCAATGGCAATTGTATGAAGCAAACTGATGCAAAATGTGTTTGTCCTCTTGTCATCTTACTTGGCACTGGGACATTCCAATTTTTGGCAGATATGTAAAGGCGAATAGTAAACAAAAATTACTTTACTTCGAGTTATCCCCACCATGACATCTATACGTTTTGTTACTGGCAAATCTTCCGGCATTCTATCTGACATATCTTCTGGCATTCCATCTGGCATTCTATCTGGCATATCTTCCGGCATTCTACCTGGCATATCTTCTGGCAAATGTACTGGCATATCTTCTGGCATTCTATCTGGCATATCTTCTGGCATATCTTCTGGCATATCTTCTGGCATTCTATCTGACATTTTATTTGGCATTCTCTCTGGCATACCTTCTGGCATTCTATCTGGCATATCTTCTGGCATTCTATCTGACATTTTATCTGGCATTCTCTCTGGCATATCTTCTGGCATTCTATCTGGCATAGCTTCTGGCATTCTATCTGGCATATCTTCTGGCATTCTATCTGGCATATCTCATGGCATTTTATCTGGCATATCTGCTGGCATTCTATCTGGCATATCTTCTGGCATTCGATCTGGCATTCTATCTGGCATATCTTCTGACATTCTATCTGGCATATCTTCTGGCATTCTATCTGGCCGTTGAGGTCCAGCACTGCACACTGAGCTGGGAAGGTCCCAGGTTGAGGTCCAGCGGTGCACACTGAGCTCGGAAGGTCCCCGGTTGAGGTCCAGCGGTGCACACTGAGCTCGGAAGGTCCCAGGTTGAGGTCCAGCAGTGCACACTGAGCTCGGAAGGTCCCAGGTTGAGGTCCAGCGGTGCACATTGAGCTGGGAAGTTGGCAAAGAGCTTGGCCAAGAGTTGGCAAGGCGGAAGTTGAGGTGGAAGTTGATGCAGACATGGTCGAGGAGAAACAGGCGGAGGAGAAGGAGGAGGAGGAGGACGAGGAGGAGGAAGAGGAGGAGGAGGAGGATAGCTAGCCGAGGAGCAGGAGGAGGAGGAGGAGGAGAAGAACAACTGTGATAAAATCTAACAACCCTCACCTAGGAGGTGGGGAACAAAGTGGTTGGCCCCCTATGAGTACCTGGGTTTGTCCAAACATAGGGTATTCAGGTGTACCCAATCAAAATCCATCACAACAAATCTGGAAAGAAAAATCGGGGGATTACCTTTTGAAACACTTACAGTAGATCTTCTATCCTTCATTGTGCAAATCCATATCCATCCCAGTTCCATAGACGCCGTAGTAAAAACGTTGTCAAGGCACAGCTGCAACTGAGGCCATGATCATGATCTCCGGCCCAATAGCTCGACAAATCCCCATCCAAGGTGTTGGAAGGCAAGGCTGTGCCCCGCCAAGAGGATCCAGTGGTGGTGTCAGCTGTTGCCTACGGCCATTGATGTTAAGATATGGAGAGTCCCTGGAGAGTACATGGATGAATCATCTTGGAACATGCCGATATTGGATATATGTTATTAATGACATTATAATCTATATTCTATATGTAGCCTCTAAAAAGATAAACATGGACGAATCTCAAATTTACAATTTTGCCTGTGGGAATCTTACTGTTCTAAGTCTAAGTACAATATATCTTTGGGGGGTTGCTATACATAGAATTTAGGGGATGCAGGATGTACCAGTTATTTTGGATGATCAAATCAATTATATCCTATCATATTTCTTTGGGATATATATATATATATATGGTATTATATGGGAATGAATCACCCAATGGACACTACTATCTCCACTAATTATCCATTGCGATGAAGTAGAACGAACTTCCAAATTGGGAAATTTACCACCGCCTCCAATTTTGACACGCAGACGTAGACTACATAGACACTGTGTTCTTGGGTTTGGTGGGTACCGGCAGTAGGTTCAGAAGACCGAAGCAAGCATTCAACATGTGCAGCATGACCAAAATTTTGGACTAAGAATCTACCGAAATCAATTGTGAATGACATGGAATGCCTCATTTGGATGCAAAACTAGTTTAGGATTCTGAAGTTTTTGAAGATTTGTCGTCTGGTTTGACATGATGAGACCACCGCAATCCAGAAGTTTATCAGATCCAGAAGCCAATGGATTGATTCCAAGAAAAAACTTCACTGGAAACTATGTTTCTGCACATTAAACAGAAGGGTGTCATGGGTGCTGCTTAGTGAACATGGACATCTCGGCATTTAATCTCATGGCCAATACCAAACCAATGAACACGGTCAATGGCACAGCTCCCTTGACCTTTTTTTTGGATATGTTCGTGTAGCTTCAAACATTAAGCAAAACTGCTTAGCCCAATCAGCAAGTTGACAACTTAGCCCAATCAGCAAGTTGACACGTAGTATTCTGTGAAGTCGTCGTGAGAAAAGCACGCAATCCCCACCACTTTGCTTATCAAAAAATAAGCAAAACCTCTGCATGGCTTTTCCATGCGCCAATGGTCCCGAAGAAACTTGCCCATTTATGGATGACTGGTTGGTGGTTGACCTACCTCTCTGAAAAATGATGGAGTTCGTCAGTTGGGGCTACTATTCCCAATATATGGAAAAACAAATGTTCCAAACCACCAACCAGATGATTGTTTTATGACAAAAAGGGGATTTCTACGTGCTCTGTTTGATTGCCAAAGGGTCACCTCTTCTGATATCGTGTGATGTCTGGAACGGAATGGCCACTCATGATATGTGGTCGACTCTGGCTTCCAATCATCTCCCTTCCCTTAAAGGGATGTTTTCCCCCCAATCATACTCTGGTTTTTGGGTCCCTAGGTCCCGTCATAAGATTCGAATGTGGGATATATATATATTACATTATTACATTGTAATATATTATGCTATACTATATTATATTAAATTATACTAAATTATATTAAATTATATTAAATTATATTAAATTATATTAAATTAAATTAAATTATATTAAAATGATTAAATTAAATTATATATATATGGGTATACGGGATATGGTGACATGGTGGAAAACCATGTGAAAAAACACTGTCCCCAAATGACCCCAACATAAACGACCAGTTGTACCTGGCCACTGGATGTTGGGTATCTATCCCGATACTCTTTTCCCGTGCCAAGAAAAGCATCTTTATCTGGTGGGCGATGTTTGGGCATAGATGTTTTTATATGGTTTAAAAACGAAAAAAAGAACACGTTCTTGAACAAAATTACTTCACTTCGAATGATCCCCACCATGACATTTATACATTTTCTTACTGGCAAATCTTCTGGCATTCTATCTGACATATCTTCTGGCATTCTATCTGGCATATCTTCTGGCATATGTTCTGGCACATCTTCTGGCAGTCTGGCATATCTTCTGGCATTCTATCTGGCAAATCTTCTGGCATTCTATCTGGCATATCTTCTGGCAACCTATCTGACATTCTATCTGGCATATCTTCTGACTTTTTTTCTGGCATTCTATCTGGCATATCTCATGGCATTCTATCTGACATATCTTCTGACATTCTTTCTGGCATATCTTCTGAGATTCTGTCTGGCATATCTTCTGACATTCTTTCTGACATTCTATCTGACATCTTTTCTGACATTCTTCCCGTTGAGGTCCGGCAGTGCCCACTGCGATCTGGAAGTCGCGGTTGAGGTCCGGCAGTGCCCACTGCGATCTGCAACTCGCGGTTGTGGTCCGGCAGTGCCCACTGGGATCTGGAGCTCGCGGTTGAGGTCCGGCAGTGCCCACTCGGATCTGGAACTCGCGGTTGAGGTTCGGCAGTGCCCACTGCGACCTGGAAGTCGCGGTTGAGGTCCGGCAGTGCCCACTGGGATCTGGAGCTCGCGGTGGAGGTCCGGCTGTGCCCACTGGGATCACTGGGATCTGGACTGCGAGGAGGAGGCGGCGGGTGAGGAGGCGGAGGAGGAGAACAGCTCTGATAAAATCTAACAACCCTCACCTGGCAGGTGGGGAAAAAAGTATGTATATATATATATATGTCAATAAATATGTACCCATATATATATATATATATATATACCTATGTGTTAAGAGACGCCGCTTCTTCCTCTGGGTCCAAGGGACAAAGATCTGATTCCCATGTTGATCAAAGAACTCCACTTCGTGCAGGTCCCAACTTGCCGAACAAGAAGGAGAAGAGATGGGGCCGCCATTGGACATCTTCAAATACTTCACCGGAGTCACCTCCGAAACAACGGAGGTGAAGGTCTTTGTTGGATTGAAATCTTAACTGGTTGGTGGTTGACCTACCCCTCTGAAAAATAGGAAAGTCAGTTGGGATGATTATTCCCAATATATGGAAAAAGAAAAAACATTGAAGATCCTTAATAACTTATGTAGCCGTTAAAATGAACAAATCTAAATGAAATCTAACAAGAGTTATTAAGGACATATCAATGACACAAACATGACATCTATATCAATGACATATAAATGAAATCAAGCATGAATTATTAAGGACATATGACTGACACAAACATGACATCTATATACATGACATATAAATGAAATCAAGCATAAATTATTAAGGAAATATCAATGGATATCAATTGCACAAACATGACATCTGTATAAATGACATATAAATGAAATCAAACATGCTCACCACACAAAACAGTTGCAGAATTCTCCGAACCAACCCCAGAGCCCCAGCTTTTCAGAGATTTTTCCTGGTTCCCGTCCCAGGTGGTAAGGCTTATATACCTAGGGGGTGGCAATATATACCTGGTATATCACCGGAGACCATAAATTACCGCTGAATTACATGCCTCAATGAATAAACAACCTGTTTGCTTAAAAATAAACACAGTTTATCGAATATCATGAATCGTGGAATGGTTGGATGACAAATTATTAATGGAGATGTAACCTCACAATTCAATGGGCAATGTGAGGAATGAACTAACCGACCCAAACTATCCCAAACGTAGATTGCAATATAATATATACCTGGGAACCCAAAAACTATTTTTTTTTCCCATCGTTCGGGGTTGACACGTTTTTTCTGTCATTACGGGTTTGTTGGTTCCATTGAAGGCCCGATCTGAAGAACCCAAATACGATCTGTTAACGCGGGTGAGGTCGATTTTTTTGTTTTTTTAACAATATATGTTTCGGCATTTTTCTGGCAAATTGTCGGGTTGAGCGCGTCTTTGGCCCAAAGTCAATCAAATTGACATGATTTTTTCATCAAATGCATTCAAATGCTACTTATTTTCATGAAACAGCAGGCACATACCGCCCGTTGGCGATTCTTTTCAGTCACTACGGAAAAAAACATGCGAAGTTGGAAATTCGACGATAAAACATGTCACTACTAGTAAAACGGCATATGACCGAAAAAATATTGACGTTTGGGTTCCCAGGTAATGCTGGATACCGATTAGTGTCCTGGGACTCTATTGTGAGAAAAGTTTCAAAAATAATTAGTTGAGAATCTTGTGAATGGGGGGAGGCCTCTATTGTGAGAAGTTTTTTCTCAGATCCATTTTTTTTCAGGAGGAGCTTTATCCACCTTTCTTTGGATAAAGTTGGCCCATTTACTTTAGAAAGCCATATGCCCATATCCATGTTAAAGCCTTGAAAATGCAAGGTTTTCCAAATATTTGGATGCCTTATTAAACCCTTATTCAAAAACAACATCCAGACAATTTTTCAAGGGGGTACCCCATGAGTGGCCCAGATACTCAATAATATAACCGTTTGGATGGCACCCTATTGTGCACACCAACGTTTGGGGCCTTTCTTTTTGAATTAAAAGGAACATCAATTGAAAGTAGATTGATGTCAATTGAAATCCTTACTTAAGTTGACTATGCTAAGAATTGTTGAGGGGGGGGGCGTTGAAAATGACGATTTATTCAGTATCCTAAAATTGTTGAGGGGGGCCCTACACTAATCAGTATCCAACATCATATATATATATATATGTATAAATGTTAAATATATACATATGCGTGTCACAAATCAAGCAGCAAGCAATCGATTCAAACTAGCAGCAAGATCGATTTGCCAGCAGAAACTGGGAACTTGTCAACAACGAGCCGGGTTTTGAGGAGCTGCTGCAAAATAGGGAGTTAACCACCAATAAGCAGAAAGAGAAACTGCCAAAAACCTCGAAATTAAACGCCAAAACTTGTTGACCACCAACATTCGAGTCAACCAACAAAATGAGAAAAAACACACACATCAAAATGGGATGCTGTTGATTTAACAACCGACTTTCTTTGGAAGCGAGTTACAGCAGGGTTGCAGATTGTCAGGCTCGGGCCATCTGCCGTGACTCTCAGCAAGGCTGAAAGCAGCAGTGTGGACGCCATGGCAGGCCGCTCTGGCTTCATTCATGGGGATTTAACCACACTTTGATTGTGTTTTTTTTTATGGGAATCACATTACATATTATTTAACGCAGCTATGGCAATTTGACATTTTATAGAGGATTATATATGTGATTTCCTATACATATAACTGTTTAAGTGGGTAGTGGTAGTAACCCAAAAAATGAGAGAAAACTATAGAAAAGTAATTTAGAACTATTTGAATGGTAGGATTTTCCTTTTTCTATCGTTTTGGGGATTGCTATACAGTGGTTTGTGGGGCTCCCTGCATAGCTAAGTTGCTTTACAACTTCAAGCTGCAGCGCGCCCCGGGAGGAACGCGGGGATGGGAGGCCCAGGAAGGTGGTTCAGTGGTTGATGGGCTGTCCATGTTGATCTCTATGCAGCTAGCCAGTGAAGTTGCTGAAACTGCCCAGCAAATGGGCTGATGATGACTATAGAATGATGATCTGAAACTGAATCCCTCTACTTCGGGTGAGTGATTTCTCCCCCCACTGAAACATATTGGACATTGAATAGGTGGCAGCACGGACAAGGGCAAATTCCAACTGAGGCAGCAATAATCCACGAAGAAAGAAGAGGAGCCAACAGATCCGACAGAAGGAGATTCGAACCTGGTACAAATCAATTACTCTTGGGTAGTGGGAAAATAGTATATCAATATAATATATCTGCATACATTTCTATACACATACAATATGCAATATAGATGTGCATAATTATTCATATATATATAGATAGATATATATATATATTCAATGTTATACACCATTTCGGGATGATTTTTCCATTTACCCAGCCAAGTCTGCATTTTCAGTGTCTGGCTGGGATGGCTAATCCCTTGTTTTGTTCACTCCGGAGTCTTCTTTTACCACAAATCAAACATGGCTGGAAAATCCCTGAACTAAATGGAGGTTTCGTTCGCTGGGAAAATCATCTGTAGGTGATTGTTCATTGCCATGATTCATTACCGGACAGTAGCCATCTTAGTATTGGAATGTATTGGGTCTAATTATTCCTTTTGGGGTTCCTACAGTGGGTACGTTCGTTTTTGCAAATACTGGGAACGTTTCTTTTGCGGGATTTCTAGTGTTGGCTGAATTTCGAAAGGCTCCTTCCTCCTATGGGTGCACAATCCCTACAAAAACAACAATCCCTACGCGCAAATCGTCTTTTGATGCTGCGTGCGCTGCTCCATAGTATGAATGTTCCGCCGTCTTTGACGCGAAACCATGCCTAGTTGGTGTTTTTTTTTCGGTTTGGGTGAGCCGCCCATCCTGGGGATTAGGGTGACCCATCGTGAGGATTGACCATTGGGAAAATATATCAGCAATGTAGGTAAAACAATGTCATAAACCACCTATAAAAATGGTGATGACTGGGGGATGGTTTAGTATTGTGTTACCCACATTAGACTCATTTGAAACCGCCAACCAGTTCTGAAAAAACTAAAGCCTCCTGCCTGTTGCATCAGGCAGGTCCACCTGAAAGGCACACAATTTTATACCCTGACACTGTCCATTAAAAGAACTGTGGCAGGAAAATTAAGGGCATGTCGCATGAACCATGTCTAAAGTCAGGCTTGAGCTCATCATTTCTGGCTGACTCACATCTGGACATGCTTCTGAAACGCCCTGAATTACACTTCAAACACTTCAAACGACATTTCCACCGTTCACCTTTGGTGGCGGTTGGAAACCGCAGCGTGTCGAAGCCATCGCTTACTGCGCGTTCAGCCAAGAGTGAGGAGCAGCGCCACCACGGCGCTCCAACTGGGATGATCGAAAATCTGGTGGTTGATCATCATTGTTCCCCCAAAAAAACACCATGTTGGTTTGGAATAAAAAACCAACTACATAAATATATATACAGTATATATATATATATGTATATATACATCATGATTCTATAGTATAAATGGTGAATATATATATATATGCATATATATATATATATTTAATTATATATATATATACATATCATAATTCTGTAGTAAATGGTGAAGGTAACCAAAGGTATATACATATATATGAATATATCCTGTGGCACCGCAGGGCGATGCAATCTCACCATGATTTGACTTAAAACACAGTGTGTCCATTAACAAAGTCAGACCATGTCCATGGATTCTTGGCGGGTCTGCAGCTCTGGCTATGTGTTATGCTTCACACTATGGCAGCCATTGGTTTTGGGGTTCCATGATAGTTTTTTGTAAGGTATCCCCTGATAATGAAACAACTTACAGTAATTGCCATGGATTGCATGGATTGATAGATGACTTTCCCATTAGAACCGCCAGCTACGGTGGATTTCCCATTGCCATGTTTGATTACTGCAGGGTAAACCAGCCCAAACCACTGAGCGTTCCAAGGCACACTCGGACCGCCGGCGGTGCTGCTCCATCAACGAGCCTGGGCTGCGGCACATTTCAAGCTTGGCATTTTTTGGAAATTTCCCTGCCAACACGGCCCGCAAGAAAATCTGAAGTATCCATGGCTTTTCCTAGGAAATGACCTACACATGTTCTTGCATAGAACATGTTTGCTTACTGAAGGGTGTGATATATATATATATATATTTATTGGCTGAAACACGCTGAGACCCAAACATATTTAAAAAACTATACCACTCAGACCTAGACAGCTGCAGCAGTGCTAGTCTGCAATATTGATTTGTTGGATCATTTTCTGAAAATTCCTAAAATACCAGGTTGTACCATGTCGTACCAAATGGCCAAGCGAAAGCCATACCGAGTTGTGATTTGAAAGATCCCACCCATACTTTCCGCTGAATCACGATTTGTGTGGCCTAACATCAGGGTTGTCTCCAAATTTCACACCCCATTCCATGGTTCAAAGTGTTTAAAGACCCTTGTTTATCCCTACTAGTACGGCCATCAACTTGGGGGGAAATAAATAGAAACAAATACCCATAAAATGAGACGCCAAATAAATATCTGGGGCATGGAGCGATGTGCCATCTGCTTGGTTAGCTTGATCAGGAGTATTTCCTCCATCTCCGTTTCCTCCATTTCCTCCATCGGCATCGCCGGCATCGCCGGCATCGCCATCGCCACCCGACTCCCTGGACAACAAACGGCACCTTCAAACCCCATCATTCAATGATTGGTTCAGAAGGGGATTGCCATTTCCATCATTTCCTCAGTCCCTGTCGGCATCAAGGTGTTGAATCTTTTGAACACACCGAAGCTTCACCGATGGGTTCTTCATCAAAAAACAACCGTTGAAACCCACAGTGTATCCGCATGTGCAACATCAACACCTAAAGAAGTGCATTGCGACTACAATCCATCAAGAACCACCAGAAAAATCCACTGCAAGCTGCAAATGTGTGTTGTTTCACAGGGGTATTTTGAAGGCAAACTGTGGGGAAACCTCCCAAGTTCTACTCTGGCGTTTTTCTCTACCCTCTGGTAATGACTAACATAGCTATTGAAAATTGCCATTGGGTTCGTCGATTTACCTATCAAAAATTGGGATTTTCCAAGGCTGCGTTAGTTTACCAGAGGGTAAATCACCATCAATATCATTAAATCAACATTAATCACAACTCAATCACCATTAATCACCATCAATCACCATTAAATCACCATTAATCACCATTAATCATCATTAAATCACCATTAAATTAACATGAACCACCATTAAATCACAATCAATCACCATCAATCACCAATAATTCACCATTAATCACCATTAAATCACCATTAATCACCATTAAATCACCATTAACTCACCGTTAAATCACCATTAAATTACCATTAAATCACTGTTAAATCGCAATCAATCACCATTAAATCACCATTAAATCCTCATTAAATCACCATTTAATCAGCATTTAGTCAGTGTTCAATCACCATTAAATCACAATTAAGCCACCATCAAACCACCATTAAACCACCATTAAATCACCATTAAACCACCATTAAATCACCATTAAATCACCATTAAATCACCATTAAATCACCATTAGATCACCATTAAATCACCACTAAATCACCACTAAATCACCATTAAATCACCATGAAATCATCATTAAAAAATGCTTTACTTCGAGTTATCCCCACCATCACATCTATACGTTTTGTTACTGGCAAATCTTCTGGCATTCTATCTGGCATATCTTCTGGCATTTTATCTGGCATATCTTCTGTCATTCTATCTGGCATATCTTCTGGCATTCTACCTGGCATATCTTCTGCAATATGTTCTGGCATATCTTCTGGCACTCTATCTGGCATATCTTCTGGCATATCTTCTGACATTCTACCTGGCATATCTTCTGGCATATGTTCTGGCAAACATTCTGGCACTCTATCTGGCATACCTTCTGGCATTCTATCTGGCATACCTTCTGGCATTCTATCTGGCATATCTTCTGGCATTCTGGCACTTCTGGCACTCTATCTGGCATATCTGGGCATATGTTCTGGCATATCTTCTGGCATCTATCTGGCATATCTTCTGGCATATCTTCTGACATTCTATCTGGCATTCTATCTGACATATCTTCTGGCATTCCATCTGGCATTCTATCTGGCATATCTTCTGGCATTCTACCTGGCATATCTTCTGGCAAATGTTCTGGCATATCTTCTGGCACTCTATCTGGCATATCTTCTGGCATATCTTCTGACATTCTGTCTGGCAAATCTTCTGGCATATGTTCTGGCAAACATTCTGGCACTTTATCTGGCATACCTTCTGGCATTCTATCTGGCATACCTTCTGGCATTCTATCTGGCATATCTTCTGGCATTTTATCTGGCATATCTTCTGGCATTCTATCTGGCATATCTTCTAACATTCTATCTGGCATATCTTCTGGCATATCTTATGGCATTTTATCTGGCATATCTTCTGGCATTCTATCTGACTTTCTATCTGGCATATCTTCTGGCATTCTATCTGGCCGTTGAAGTCCAGCGGTGCGCACTGCGCTGGGAAGGTCCCAGGTTGAGGTCCAGCGGTGCGCACTGAGCTTGGAAGGTCCCAGGCGGTGCGCACTGAGCTGGGAAGGTCCCAGGTTGAGGTCCAGCGGTGCGCGCTGAGCTGGGAAGGTCCCAGGTTGAGGTCCAGCGGTGCGCACTGAGCTGGGAAGGTCTCAGGTTGAGGTCCAGCGGTGCGCACTGAGCTGGGAAGTTGGCGAAGAGCTTGGCGAAGAGTTGGCAAGGCGGAAGTGGAGGTGGAAGTTGATGCAGACATGGTCGAGGAGAAACTGGCGGAGGAGGCGGAGGAGGAGGAGAAGGAGGAGGAGGCGGAGGAGGAGGACAACAGCTCTGATAAAATCTAACAGCCCTCACCTGGCATGTGGGGAAAAAAAACCATTAAACCACCATTCAATCACCATAAAAATCATCATTAAAAAAACTTTAAACCATCATTGTACCATTAAAAATCCATGAAATCACCATTAACTCACCATTAACATCACCAATAAATCACCATTTAATCACCATTTAACCACCATTCAATCACCATTAAACCACCATTAAATCACCATTAAACCACCATTAAATCATTAATACATCACCATTAATCGCCATTAAATCACCGTTAAATCGCCATTAATCACCATCAAACCACCATTAAACCACCATTAAATCACCATTAAATCAACATTAAATCACCATTAAAACCACCATTAAATCACCATTAAATAACAATTAAATTACCATTACATCACAATTAATCACCATTAAATCACAATCATTCACCATCAATCACCATTAAATCACGATTAACCATCATTAAATCACAATTAAATCACCATGAATCACCATAAAAAAATAACAATTAAATCACCTTTCATTCACCATTAATCAGCATTAACCACCATGAAATCACCATTACATCACCATTATATAAATCACCATTACATCACCATTAATCACAATGAAATCACCATGAATCACCATAAAAATCACCGTTAACATAAACACATTGAACCACCATTAAATCACCATTAACTCACCATTAATCACCATTTAATCACCATTAAGTCACCATTAAATCATCATTAAATCGCCATTAAATCACCATTAATCACCATTAAATCACCATTAAATCACCATTGAATCACCATTACATCACCATTAATCACCATTAAATCACCATGAATCACCATAAAAATCACCAGTAACAAAAAAACATTGAACCACCATTAAATCACCATTAACTCACCATTAATCACCATTTAATCACCATTAAATCACCATTAAATCATCATTAAATCACCATTAAATCACCATTAAACCATTAAATCACCATTAAATCAACATGAAATCACCATTAGATCACCATTAAATCACCATTAAATCACAATTGAATCACCATTAACTCACCATTAAATCACCATTAAATCACCATTAGATCACCATTAAACCACCATTAAACCACCATTAAATCACCATTAAATCACCATTAAATCACCATTAAATCACCATTAGATCACCATTAAATCGCCATTAAATCACCATTAAATCACCATTAAATCACCATTAAATCACCATTAAATCACCATTAAATCATCATCATTAAATCACCATTAAATTACCATTAAATCACCATTAATCACCATTTAATCACCATTAAATCACCATTAAATCATCATTAAATCACCATTAAATCACCATTAATCACCATTAAATCACCATTAAATCTCACCATTAAATCACCATTAAATCACCATTAAATCACCATTAAATCATCATTAAATCATTAAATCACCATTAATCACCATTAAATCATTAAATCATCATTAAATCATCATTAAATCACCATTAAATTACCATAAAATCACCATTAGATCACCATTCATCACCCTTTAAACGAACCCAATGATAGCCCCCATTGCGGCAAGGATCGTCCCACAAGAGGAAGCAGCCACGGCTGTAGAACCGGTCACGAAGCAACCCGCATCCGAAAAGGTGAGTGTCGTTTGGTCCAAAGAGCCATGAACTTCCAACACCTCATGCATGGCATGGTACCAGGGGGCTTTTTGGGTGGGTTTATGACGAATTAAACTGCTAAGTGGGTTTATGACTATAGTTTGACTATCCACCAGATAGACCATAGACATCCATAGGCCATATTAACTGTAGATCTATCTACCAGTTTAAGCTAGAGGATATTGAGATGGGCCATTCGACCCGACTCCACGGCAAAGATATGGCTTAGACATGTTAGCCTTAGACATAGTTGGACCTGGTATCTTGGCTTAAACACCGTATCAATTAACAGAAGTTAGTATGTATATATATATATATGTGTGTGTGTACATGTATATATATATATATGTATGTAAATATATGTATATATATATGTATATGTATATATATATATATATATATATATGTATGTAAATATATATATGTATATATATATATGTACATATGTGTGTGTGCGTGTTATATAGATATAATATACCTATATGTGTTATGTATATAAGTGGTTTGTAGTGGCGTCCACACACACAAAATTAAAAATCTTGATGCCCAAAGATGCCACATCTTGCTGGCGGAGGTCCAAAATACCATGGCGTTGATGCATGGCCATATGCAATTTAGAAGCAGTATTGCATGTACATATATATGTATATGTATATCATGTATTTGTATTATATATATATATATGAAAACATATACAAATGAATCAATCTATGGAATCGATGCTTGGTTTTAGACATTGCTTATTCTTAGAAACCAAATTCATCCACACCCCTCCCCGAATCATCGCATTCGGCCGGCATCATCTGTTCGGTAGTTGCCACCAGCTCCAGCACAATGGACCCGGAAGTGTCCCATGGACCGTGCGTTGTTGCCCTGGTAGACCTGCGAAACTGGATACGCAACAGGTCAACGCCCATGGCCTTTTTGGATACGCCTGTGCATAAGTATACATATTTATTTACTTAGATTTGCATGATGTCATTTCTCAAACATATTGTATGTGTGTTAAAAATACGTATATGTATAATTATATAATTATATATGTATGTGTGTGTGCCTATGTATATACATATGCAGTTACAGATTACATACGTATATATAATATGTGTGTGTGTACAAATATTATGTGTGTGCGTGTTTGTGCCTGTATATAGGTTTACGAGCGCTAAGTATGAGAAGGCAGTTTTTGTGAAATTGGACAAGTCCTGTTGGAACAATGGTCCATGGACATAGAATGACCGATCTTCCAGGGTGGCGGGCCAGGTCGCGGTTCGCGAAACGTTACCACGTTTCGATATGGCTTTGTCAATAGGGTACCCCATTCCATCCCAAGGTTATATACTCGTTATATGTTCCATTCAGAAGGCCATTTTACAGGTATCCCGCTATCCCTCTGTTTCAGACACCGATATTGACTTCGTTACACAAAGGCTTGGTTGCAACGCTTGTCTTAGTTTCTACAGATAAGTTGACTGTACCTTTACTGAGCAGCTCGGGGGGTTGCAGTACCGTAAGTCGCTGTTCAACATCAATCTTGGATCAAAACAGACTCATCTCTCATAAAATACCATCTGGTAATCAAACGTGGCAATGGGAAATAGCTAATAACATCTTTAAATAGAGATTTTAGTGGGAAAATCATCTATTAAAAAAAACGAATCAAGTGCCATGTCTGATTACCTGAGGGTAGTTCGCAAACAATAGTCAAACACAATAGTTTTGCCAATGTTGTCATACCAGCCTTCAACATTGAGGCTATATTCACATGGATTCATTGACGGGCTTTGTAAAATTGCAGAAAACGATAATAATATAATACAGGGGTTGCCGCTATGTATGGATTGCCCCTAATACTCGCCAATACTGGGGTATTGGCGATCCAATACACTCCCCACACATGGACAAATTAGAAACCACCTCCCAGACCATTCCCCCCCAAAAAACTGTAAAAGTATGTAAACATATATATATATATATATAAAAACATATGTGACATATGAGGTAAAACACAGTAAACAAATATGTTTATGGGTACTTGGAGGGTCTAAGCATACTTGCAGATGATTCCAAAGAAAAAAACACAAGTTCCCTGATGTTTTTTCCCATTTTTCTGCACCTCGATGCGTGAGATGTAGGTTTCCGGCAACACAAACTGGATGGCCTGTGGGTCCCAAGGTTGGTTGAGCCATCCTTGCCGATCATCTATACCCTGATCTTTGGTGGGGTTAGGGATGGTTAGGGACCAATTGATCCATGATAACTTGATATAATTATTACCCTCTGGTAAACTAACATAGCTATTGAAAATGGCCCAGTCGAAATCGTGGATTTACCCCTTAATAGCATGGTGGATCTTTCCATAGTTTTTTGTAAACGTTTACCAGAGGGTCCCAACCATGTAACCACATACGCAGCATTGCTGATGTGTTTGTTTTTTTGTTCAAGGCGTTCAAAGAATAATATGGACGTTGATGGAGACCATCCCAAGTAGGAGTTGGGTAGTGGCTGAAGATCAGGATACTCTTGAAATCTTGGGCCAGGTTGAGTAGCTCAAAAAACCTCGGGAACATTGGCTGAGTTTATACAGCTTGTGATCTTTTGTCCATCTAGATCATCTAGCGAACCAATTCAGGGATCCAAATCGTTTCATTTCTTTGGTCCCAAAGTAGGCACTGATTTTGGGGCTACACCCACACCTGCTTGTTGATTTTGGAGGAATTCCAACCTGGGAGGCGCCACCCGGCCGGGTCAACGTAGTGGGATTTTTTTTCTATAAATGGGGAGATGTACAATTGCCATGTTTGAATAGAGGGTAACCGATATGGGTTATATTGAAGTTATATGTTAATATTGCACATCAAACATGGTATGTTTGATTAGAGGGTAACCGATATGGGTTATATTGGTTGTTATATTATTGCCATGTTTGATATACTTCAATATATAATATAAACTCAACCGATATTGAAGTTATCTTGGACCGTGTGGAACCCAAATGAGTTTCATTTTAGGATACCAGGCTGCGACACCCATGTTGACTCAAAGAACATGAGCAAGTTGTTTTTTGTTGGCCAAGTGATTGTAGCAACCTCCGGGAAGATCAATTTCACATGGTAGTATTTCAAGTTTCTATCTGTTTGGGGGATTGCTATATATGATCTAAATTCATCTGATCAGTACATCGTTTAAGCCATCCCTTTATATATATAATATTAAATAAATAATGATATAGAGATACGTGTGTGTGTGTAATATTAAATGGTTTAAATACCACCAATCGAAACTCTTGCCTACCATTGACTCTATTTACTTGTGGGGCCCAGCCATGGTCATCCAAACAGTCTTTGGAGTTGATGCGTTGATGAAAGCTATGGTGCCCCAACGGTGCTTTTTTTTTGTACCTGGACCCTCCGAAGACTCCAAAACGGTAAATGTACTAAAATGTTTGGGTCAGAAAAAAACACACACACACACTAACTATATACATATGTATGTATATATATAATATTGTATATATATATATATATAATTATATATATACACATACATACACTTGGAGGCTCTAGGCACGATGAAACGTGATGAAGACGTCTTTCGAACCTCCCGCTTCAATCAAATGTTCATTGCAGTATTCTTTTTGTTAAAGTGTATATCTGGTTGGTGGTTTCAACCCTCCTGAAAAATATTAGTCAGTTGGGATGATTATTCCCAACATATGGAAAAATAAAAAAATGTTCCAAACAACAACCAAATATGGTAACGTCTGGTAAGATGTCCTAGATATTCCTACTCAGGGATCTTATGTCACCCACCACCTGTCCCAGCAACAGCTGCAACTCAGGCCATGCTCATCATTTCCGGCCCAATAAGTGGACTTATCCTTGGAGCTTATTTCCGGCCCATTGTGGAATCATGGAGGGTTTAGTAACCAATGCCGTATTCAAAGTCCTATTCCATCTGTTCTAAACAAAGTGCTGGATTAACCCGGAGGAAAATTTAAGAGCACCATCAATGCATTGTCAAAATTTAAGGGCAACCAATGAGAATTTGGAACATCTACTTTCAATGGTAATTTCAGGATCCTAAATTGGAGGTACTGTACCATATAAGGCCATATTTTCTAGGGATATCCCCTTACATAGGCCTTATATAGGCCTTATATCTGGTAAGTACCTCCAATTTAGGTTCCTGAAATCGCCATTGATACTTGGGGGGGTCCAGTTGGGGCTAAACAACTGAGTAGAACTATGGGATTCTAACCTGCCATAACTTGCCATATCACCCCGAAAATTAATCTATGGTAAAATATCATGACATATAATAATATAACCTATATAATTTTATATAATATATTTCATATATATATATATAATAATATAATAATATATATATATATTTAACATTATTATGAATTATATTATATTATATATTATATTATATTATATTATATTATATTATTATATATATGTATATATTATTTCATCTATATCACGCAGAAAAAATGTTGGTTCCACTGCAGCCCCAAGTGCAACAATCACCATCTCAACATATGGAGGTGTCCTAAAATGGTACCCATGGGAATCATCCGCCAAAAATCTCCGTCGACCACGTTGCTGGCCACGTGAGGCTCCGTGGTTTCCGTTATGCTATGCGCCGTGACCTGGGTGCCACGACCTTTGGAAAGATCCGAAGGATGCCAGGACCCATCAAAAGTGGGGCTTTTTCCCAGAATGTTAGTAGGTTTACATCCTTTTTACATCCTGTTTGGGGCAATCTGGAAGGTCTAGGTGGATGGAAAAGGAAATATTAGAGATTTTGCAATGAAGCTTGCACAATATGTTGTCATCTTTGGTACTTTGTTTCTACAGAAATCACAATTAATTAATAAAAAAAGGTAAATCACCGATCTCAGTGGGCCATCTTATGTCAAATTGCCGGAGGGTATCCAGCTATATATATATATAAACAATGGAAGATTTTCTCTTGCCAGGTTGACATGCAGGTACCAACCGATTTCCAGTTTAGTCTTAATTCTCGCTTCGAATGCGTCATTTTTTCCGACGAAATCAAGTCGAACGTCTCCCTTCAACCCCGAGGTATTGCTCAAATTTGTTGTCCAAATCGTGAAGAAACACCGTCCAGAGTTCCGTACTGACATTGGACAAAAAACCCTCTGGCAAGTTAACGTTTGTTCAGTTTGCTATTGAAAATCACGAGCTTGAATAGGTCAATCATCAATCTCATTGGGCCATTTACCATAGCTATGTAATACATTGCCTCACTATATCAGGCTGAAGGTTCAATTGTGAGATCTTCCCCCTGACTCTGGAAACCATATTTTCAGATCCTTGAACCGGATGCGGACAGCGTTACAGAGGCATACGTCCTGCACCCTCACCAGGTGGGCCGAAAAAAGATAAACTGATTTTTAGCTAGGTTAACTATGGTCTATGAGAGATTATCATGTCTCTATATAGTATCTCTATGATTCTCTATGTCTCTATAGTATTCATGGGTTTTTTTTAACCAACAAACATTTGCCTGCAACAAACATTTGCCTGGAGAGCACCAGCAGCATTTTCTTCCTATCTTGACCTTGATCTTCCAAGCAGCCACCAGCTTGTTGCCATTGCGATCGTAGAATTCCACCTCGTGGAGGTCCCAACTTGCTGTGCAACTCTCCACCTGAGAGCCATCGGATGCCAGCCATCGGGCAAGCCATCGGATGCCATCGGGGCAGCAGAAATTTCAAGGGAAGCCCTGTGGATGATTTGCCATACTGGGTTACCTTCCGGTAACCAGGTAACCATTTATAATATTTATAGATGGATAAATTATCAACCTAATTACTGTATATAAATAAAAAAAATATACATAGCAATAGAACATCAACCCTTATAACCATTTAGAGATGGTTTTCTCATGGTTTCTCATTGAAATTGCTTGCTTTCCAGATGGCCATGTTGGAATAGCTTTGCAGGTGGCCACATGGTTTCTAATACAAAAGGGCATGCAACTAAATCATCGGACCCCTAAAATGGTCTGCAACAAAATAATTGTTTCATAATGTGTCATAAATGATTTTCAAAAGGACATCCTTAACCCGTAAAAGTCCTGATCTAGTTGGGATTTATTCGTTGTGGAGTTTCTTATTGGTGGTAACCTGGTTGGTGGTTTCAACCCCTCAAACAAATAAAAACATGAAGGATCATCATCATCATCATCGTCATCATCACCATCATCATCATCATTTCATGTCTACGGTTGAAAAAAACTCAAGCAGCAAGTATGACAAGTTTTTGTGGCTCCAGTGCCCACAATTTCCGACCCTTCACCCATCCACCAGGCACAGAGGTGGCGCCGCCGTTGGAAATCTGGATGAATCTCGTGGGGTGCAACTCGGAGGCGAATTGCGAAGGGCAGCTTTTTCCAGGGTGCCCTAAACAGAAGTAGGGTAACCAGCAAGTGTGGGAAATTAATGGAAGTTATAGCTGGATCAGGATAGTTCAGTTGGTTTATAACTTGGTTAACTAGGATTCATGGTGATCAAAACTGTAGCCAAATTTATCAACCAGTTTAGAACTAGAAAAAAGGGGGCACCAGCTGGTGGGTATTGTTTCCCCATCTTCAATGGATTGGATTCGGGATTTTTTTTTACAGGAAAGCCCCATATTTTTTCTGCAAAAAAACTATGGTTTCCTATAGATCTTCCCTTAAACCAATCCATTGACATCCACGTGGAAAAAGAATATAGGATATGGAACTACCATGAATTACCAACAGGAATTTCACAGAGCTTAGATCCAAAGAGCTATGGAATGTCATGGATGCCCTTTCACAGCCGCCAGCCCCATGATAGAAGCCGCAAAAAGTGCCACAAGTCTCAGCTCGTCCCAGCCACAAAATGGATATATATATATATATATGTGTGTGTGTGTTATGATTGTTATGTTATAGTTAGATTTGAAGTAATTATACGTGTTCATTCTCCCAGCAACCCAGTCGTCCCAGTCACATAAGGGTTGCAGCCAATGACTGCAACTGGTGCAGACATGACAGGCCACGACAACATCGTCATCGTTGCAAGCGCCAACGATTGGCACGGCATGGCTCGGGTGGCCGTGGCGACGCGTCTTCTTGGCAGTTCTTGAGCCTTTTCGAAGCGAACTCGGCATAGAAGTTGCTGGGTGAGGCATTGAACATGGCAACGTCAATGGCTTAAAAGCCACAAAGCAATGTCAAATATAATATATCAACTTGGATCATCATCTCAACATATAGGGATGGAACTAAATAGGAATGACCTGAAGCCAGTGTTTCATTTTGCTAGGGATGCGCATCAAGAGCAAGCCGAAGTTGTGCAATATTTTTGGTGTCTTCATCTTGATGAAAAGGAACAAATTAAGACCATCTGCTGTTCTCAATCGCCGGCCGTGACAAATCACACAAAAACGCTTCGCTGCTCAAAACGGCCTCATGGAGAGCAATTCCCCATATCTGATGTGCTGGGTCATTCTTAATTATATATATATACCATCCGGCTAGTTAACATAGCCATGGAAAATGGCCCATGTATAGATGGTTTATTAAAAATGGCGATTTTCCATGGCTATGGTAAATAACCAAATGGTATATATATATACATAAACACTATAATTTTACCTTTTAGTAATCATACATGGCACTGGAAAGTCCACTGTTCATTTGATATTTACATCATCTCTGTAGATTATTTTCCCATATGAATGCCCGCTTCTGGGGGAGTTCCCATTGCCATGTTTGATTACTAGAGGGGAATTCATTCAGAAACATAGCAGGTTGGCAAATTGAGGTGCTTCAAGATGTGGTGCGGATAGAAATCCAACCTCAGTCTCGCAGCAGCCCCAAACAACAAAGAAAGTTGATGGAAACTCTCGCGACTGATATGCTCAATGCTTCAGCATTATTTCCCTATTGAACGAGAAACACATATGAAGGTTTGGGGGAACGCCCTGCAACCAAGAAACATCAAGAAACGGATCATTTGCACAAATTCCTCACATTGCAGCACCCCATCATTGTTGATGTCCATCCTTTGCTCGGATCATCACAGTTGCCGCTCGGATCGGCACAACAAATGATGGATTTCGACAAAAAAACATGCGCGAGCCACGCGAAGGCATGTGTCCGAAATGTATTACAAGATTAAAAACATGTTAAGTCTAAAGCACTGTGATATTTTAATTGAATTAAGTGCAGCGCCATGATGCCTATCCCAATCAAGTACGATGCCTGCAGTCTGAAGTCATGTTTTACTCGTGTTCCAACCAAGAAACCATTGATAACCATTGCTTCCCACAAGGTTCATTGTGCAAAGGCTTTGGTGAAAACACATATGACATATGCATCCTAAGTAATGACAATGATAAAGATTGAACATGCATCGGCCTTGGAAACACAAACCAGCAAAAGCTGCCTGTTGTATAAATTGTTGTAAATGTACCTGTTGTGTTTATGTTGCCACTTTCTTTTGGACATATACTCTGTAAATCTTGCGTTTTGTTCCAACTCATTCCGACAGAACCAGCAGCCCAGCGTCATGGCAAAGTAGCGTTGCAACTCGGGCTTCGGAACCTGACAGTCACGGCCCGCCCCGCCAAGATTTGGCACCACATCCCATCCCTTTCCACCACAGAAACATCAACATCCAATCCTTCGGCAGGCGCACATGTAAACCCAGCTCATTTTCCAGCATGTGGCTCAAGTCGGAACCTACAGCGTTGCCACCCCAAAAAATGTGGCTTGGTTTCGAAATGCTTATAAATCCCATTAACTATTTTATAAAAGATGGGGGGTTCCTGAAATGGGGGTACCCCTAAATCATCCATTTTAAATTGGGATTTTCCATGAAATAAACCACCCAGCTATTAGGGTACCTCCATTTATGGAAACCCCCATATATTATAAGTAAATTGTAATAATTCACTAACCTGAATTAAGGCTATTTGGGGATGATTTCCCTTACTAACCATGATTCCAGTGAGGTCGCAGTGAGGTCGTAATGATTTACCCATATATAAATAAATTAAATTAAATTATATTATATTATAGTAAATTAAATTAAATATTATATTATATTAAATTTTATTATATTATATGAAAAGAAATAAATTATATGAAAATATATTATATTATATTATATTTTATATCATAATGTATTGAAAATTAAATTATATAAATTATATTATATTATGTTATATCAAATTATATTATATTATGTTATATTATATTATATTATGTTATGTTATATTAAATAATATATGTTGTTATATTAAGTATTAAATGTTAAATATCAAATTATATTATATATATAGATATAGACATAGATACATCTACCATCAATCCTGGTGTAGTATATTGGAGTTCTGTTCACTGGAGGTGAAGCGCCACCTGTTTGGAGGCTTGACAAGTCACGGTGGCTCATCCCACAATCTGGCGATCACTGGGACATTTTTTTTGGGTTAATCCACTTGTAACTGGAATGAATTAAGCCTCTGGGAATGACTAACGTAGCTATTGGAACATGGGCAATTTATATGCAATTTTACATAGTTGATTTAGCATGATTTAGCTATGTTAAGTTTCAAGAATGGTGATTTTCCATTAATTTTCCATAGCTATGTTAATTTACCAGAGGGTAACCCACATCAGTCGGATGATCCGCGATTCACAGTAACCCCAAACGTCTCTGTAGGCTGCAACTAGCTCAACTTTGATTCCCGTCCTGATGCCCTCCCATCATTTCTACAAAACCATGGAAAATACCAACTTCCAAAATTGTTGTTGAAACATGTTGAGATCAAACATTGGGATTTTCTGGAAACTTGTAGAACTCAGTTTCCCCCATGTTTTTTACTTCACCTCTTTCCACCTCTTTCCACCTCTTTCCATGACGCCATCCCTGCACTGAGTGCATACCATTTAGCAAGTAGTTCATAACATGGTCACACGGAATATATGTTGTTTTGAGAGAACATGTGCAGGAACTTTCTACATTTACTGGTAAAAACAGTGCCTTCCTCTAGACTCTAGATATTCCCTGAAACCAATGCAATGAAATATGGCTTATATCCACTGACTGTCACTGACTTTTCGCCAATGCACATCGAAATATATCCCCATGTACTATGGGAGCTTCAATCTCAACCTGCGAGAAGCTACTGAAAGTACCCCAATCCCAACCCCGCACCATTTTCGGCTAGATTTCTGAACTTCCTGCTCTGTAGTAATTCAACCTGACACTGAACAGTCCCCAATGTAAATAGATCTGTTTGTGTGCACTGTATATGCGTACAAGACATTACAAGACGATATAACCGTTAAAACAAAATCTCGCTTGATCCATTACCCTTGCAACCCTTGGATGTGCATCCAAGCAAATTGTTTCTACCTATATAATATAGGAAATAAACAGGCAAATATGTGTAATATATAAATATATATAGGTATAATATTGTCCTTATATATATAATGCATACACATATGTTTATATATACAACCTAATGCAAAATGCAACATATATGTATGTATAACCCTGTACAATTCATGTACAAATCTAAATATAACCCTGGCCATGGCTATGGGCCAAGACATGTGTGTGTGACCTCCTGTTAACCCCAAAATAGCTGGTTGTTATCGAAGTCATGGTATTTCATAGGGTTTGGTCAATCCCCATATGTGACCCGAAAAATTGTCCAATTTTCAATTTTCATAAGGAGAAATGTGATAATGAGACTAACCAATGGATTTACATAGGGGTGGTCTGTTTTCACGCAAACCGGGGGATATTATGATATGACCTGTTAATTGAGATTCTCAAACAATAAATGATACCATTATACGATGTTTGATATAAAAAAGACTCTACCCTCGACAGAAAACATACAGTGACACTAAAGGAGTGGTCATATAACGTATAGAACCATAGTTGCAGGGGTGATGTCCATCGTTATATATATATATATATTTATTTATGTATTGACACTTCTATACAGACAGCATACTATAATTTAAATATATATATATATATAGAGATATGATGTATATATATATGTATATATAATGTGTATATATAAATAATGTATATATATATATATGCATATGCATATGCATATACGTATGTATATGATTGTATATATATGTGAAAGGTGTATATATATATACATATTTGTATATATATATATATTTGTATATAATATGGTATAATATGTATATGTGTATAATAGCCATCATCAAAATGTCCATCTCTTCCACCCAGCGGCCGGTCCCCCAGGGGTCCCCTGAGTCCCTTGACAGGTGAGCCCCGGTGTGGCCAGCACCTGCAACAGCTGCAGGGCCTCTGGAGCTTCCAAGACGCCGCGCTTCTTGCTGTCCATCTCCGCCTGCCACGGATACCCACGGCTGAAAAAACAACGGGTAGTAAAGACGTTGGATGGTTAAGGGGGGTTAAGGGAACTTAATGGGATTCAAGGGAAATTGATAGCAGGAAATGAATTTAATGCCCCAAATCGTTAGCTGAGTTAGTTTCTGTGACTAATATAGCTGTTGATTCTTGGGTTTATGGGAGATATATCTGTATTTTGTAGTTCATGATTCATGGGGGTCAATAAGCCAACTTGTGACTCGGGGATTACCACCCCGCAAGGGAGAAAATCATCCATGGGTTCTCAGAAATGATCAGAAATGGGGGCAAACTATGCAAAATCTAGAGGAAACTCATGAAGACTGTATGACCACCTACACTTCATTGCAAAAACAAAAATGATCGGTTTCCGGTGACAATTTTCCGCGGATCATTTGCAGATCTATGCGGGGTATCAACACATCATATGAACATATTAAGTTTGTGCTGCTCTTGCCTCACCATATGCCATATACCCTGTCTATACTATATATATACATTCATATGTATATATGTATGTATGTATGTTCAGATGTATATGTGTGTATGTGTATATGTATATATGTATATATATGTATATATGTAAATATGTATATATGTATATATGTATATTTGTATATGTATATATGTATATATGTATATATGTATATATGTATATATGTATATATGTATATATGTATATATCTATATATGTATATATGTATATATCTATATATGTATACATATGTATATGTATGTATATGTATATATATACTATATATAAATGTACCTGAACATATTTATATATATACTGTATATAAATGTGTGTGTGAGTACTATCTCTTTCTATGTGTATATAAATTTATACTTTTTATCATATATAACAAAAATATCATGATTGAAACCTACATGGCATGCATTTGTTGGGTGTTTTGTTGTAGGGAGATTGTCGAGGTTTGATGTTTTTTCCCCTTTTGCACGGTTGCCGTATTTTTATAGCTTTTAAAGTCCCAATTCTGCAAGCTTTGAACTTTGAAAGGATATGTTCTAATCTTTTGAAGCTGGTATCCAATGGAATAATCCTAATGTCAAAAGCCAGTGTGGGATTGATTGCTGGACTGTGAGGGGAAACAACATGAACCCATGCTATTTGGGATATGTTACTGATTTGAGGGGATGCATCCAAGGATGCAGCACCGTAGAACTCTCATTTGCTGGAATCTCTTAAACATATTGAAGACTTCCAAGGCTATCTTTTGAGGGTCGTTATAGATTTTACCCTCTGCTAATTTAACATAGCTATTGAAAATGGCCCATTTATAGTGGATTTGCCCATTAAAAAAATGTGATTTTCCATAGTTATGGGACAGTTTACCAGAGGGTATAGTCTGGGAAGCCAACAATAAACAGTTCCACCGTCCCCAAATGGGAGGATTTTTTTCGCTCAACAAGCTGAGCCACGAAAGCTTCCTCCAAATTCTGCAGCGTGTAGTCTCGAATAGGTCCTGGCTTCCCATAAAGCCATGGCATGTCATGTGGGCAAAGTAACTTCTACCGGTTGGCAGCCCCCATCTTCAAAACTACCTGGTTGGTGGTGCAATAACCATCTTGAAAAATATTAGTCAATGGCAAGGATTATCCCATATATTGTGGAAAATAAAACATGTTCCAAACCACCAACCAGAATTATAGTTGGTAATTTGAGGTCATTCTTCCGAGTAGCCATCAAGGGTCAATGGTGCCCGTATTGCAAACATGCACTTACGATGTGTGAAGGAGGCAACCGACTAATGAATCTCACGACTTTCTACCTGAGCTTTCCTTCCAATCCGACCATTTTTGGAATGCGCTTGGTTCCCAAAAAAATTGCAGGGCTATGCCTCAAACAAATTATATGCAACCCGCCAAAAGTGTCAACTTAGCCATCGAAGAGAGCAAATCCAAACATGTTTGTTCAATAATAAATAAATAAATACACACACATATATATATATATTAAACTTTATATTAATATACAATAAATAAATATAATATGTATATATGTATACATATATTATGCATACATCACAGTAAAGAACATTGAAGCACAGTACATTGCATTGCATTCCATTCCATTCCATTCCATTCCATTGCATGGCATTACATTGCATACATACATACGCACGTGTATATGACTGTCTGTATGTATGTATGTATCTATCTATCTATCTAACTATCTATCTGATCGATCTGATCTATCTGATCTATCTGATCTATCTGATCTATCTGATCTATCTGATCGATCGATCGATCTATCTATCTATCTATCTATATCGAAATATATATATATATATATATATGTATATACATAACACATACATTTACATGTGTTTACCATCTGCTTATTTAACACAGCTATGGAAAATGATCCGGTTAAAACACATGATTTATGATAATTTACCGGTATATAAACATATATAAACCAACAAAATGATGGAATTCCATAGCTACATTAACCTGCCAGAACTTGTTTTGGTTTCGATCTTCCAACGCTCCAAAACTCCACCCGTGAAGCGCCTGTGCCCAGAATGCGTCTGGCCACTTGACCTCGCGAGACATGGAAAAGTCCCTGGATATACGGACGTTCATATAATGGTGTCACCCTTGGATTATAGGGATATAAGCAATCCTCAAAAATAGATACAACAAGCAACTTCCTACTCAAATAGTGGTCGTTAACTTTCCTATCGTTTTGGTGGTTACTGCACACCCTATTTTGGGACAATTGGATACCATGGAAAACATGGTCTTGTTGAGCTGGTTGACCAGCTGCCAAAGATCTAGTATACAATGAAAAAGGATGAACGTTGATGCCCCTAAGGAGTGATCCATTTCATCCCTTCCCCCTCCCAGTAAAAAATATATATATATATATATTATTATATATACATATATTTATTTATTTATCATATACCTAGTAAACCCAAACACCATTTTTTTCTCGATTTTGGGTTCCCTAGGTATGTATATATATATACATATGTATCATTACCTCCAATGTTAGCGACCCCAAGTCTTGAATAGATCCAATACTAAACCTTCAGGTTTTGTGACTGGGGGTTCCCAGGAGGAAACCACCATGACTAGTACAGTGCTGTTTTCACGGACGCGACCGCTCGGATCAAATGGCGGAAGCCACGTGGCAAAAGCCAAAAAAGTGACTGTACAGACTTGGATGCTCACGCTTGCCGCGTTGCCCAAAAAACAGGGCAACATATCCCAAACAATTTGTAAAGACCATGGCCAATCTCGGATACCCTGCAATATATATATATATGTATGTATGCAATATAAGTATACATCGCTACCAGTAGGCAGTACACATACACCCCCATAAATTAGCAAAAGATTCAAATACAAAAACCCATCCAAGGTCTCACTGAAAACAAAAAAAAGCCACGATGGAGACATAAAAATCTGAGCCTGGCATTGGAAAAAAGCGGCATCTTACAGGCCGTGTAATCTGAGTACAAATCCATAAAGTATCATACAGTAACACCTACATCCGTTACTAGTTACAAGTGTCTGACGTTTGTCATTCAGAAACACTGCAAAAAAAGGGCCCACCAATATTACCATGGCAACGCCAACCCCCCAGCCGTATACCGCACTCACCGCGTCCGCTTCGCTTCACCAAGGGCGAGCGAAGCGACAGACTCAGGGACCCAAGGAACCTCAGCGAGTCCCAATAAAGACAAGGCAACGTCCACATTGACCTGGCACCGTCACAGTTTCGGTCACGGCCCCATGGTTTTTTCCGTTTCGAACCAAGACAATTTCCGTGTTTTTCGGGGTGAAATCCAAGTAAAATCCACAAAAATCTTCCCCGTCACCAGTTCTTCAACCCCACTTATTCATGTAAGTAAACATCTCAACATCTCATTAAATGGCTATGAAAATTCAATCATATTCATTCCCCCGATATCCCCCGATCATATAAGACATATCCAAACAAAACCCCTGATATCCCCTCACGTAAAGAAGCCTATTCATTTTGGGGCCCATGGGGGGGTGGAATTTGCCGGTCCCAGTGAATCCCGTTGCGGTGGTGAAACATCTCAGCTGTGGCATTATCCACCCAACTCACCATATGCAAAACAACACCATACATCCAAAAATAACATACCCTCTGGTAATTTAACATAGCCATGGAGAATGGCCCATTTATAGATGGTTTACCTATTAAAAATTGAGATTTTCCATGGCTATGTTAAATAACCAGAGGGTAAATATAAAAGTAGCAATGGCAATGCCCCTAATATATAATATCACTGTCACAAACATGAAACAACACCATATCATATATAAATCAATAAAACACCATATCTCAAGCCATGAAATGTGATAAACCCAAAAACAAACCTCCAACTTTGGAGGGGGGAACGGTTTATATGTGGCATGAGGTGTGTGTGATGGTAGTAAACCTACCAAAAATCACCATCAGTTCAAACTATTGCCAACATCCATAGAATCAACTAATATAAACTAATCAATGGCCATTCCAGGATCCTAAATTGGAGGTACCTACCATATATAAGGCCTTATATAGTACAGTACCTCCATTTTAGGATCCTGAAATTCCCATTGAACTAACGAATAAACCACAGAAATCCAGCTAAGACATTCTAAAAAGCTTGTGACACAGAATTACCCAACTCACCATCCCTTCAAAATACGGCAAAAATATGCATCTTCAAAAGCATATTCAGAACATAAAAAAAAAACATCAAAAACCAGTGGTTTAACCACATCAAATCCTCTAAAATCAGCATTTTTTATAGGTAAATCATGGTAAATCATCAAAAACCAGTGGTTTTAACCATCCCAAAACCCCGTGAAAAAACGGTCCAAAAAGGGGCGCCTCTCCGTCCACGCTGCACAGCTCCTCCCGCAAGGCCTCGACGGCCTCCGGTGCGACAGCGGAAGGCGCAGGGTCGGCACGGAGCCGCTGCAGCGCGGGGCCCAGCTCTCCAACCTTTGGGCGGTGGAAAAAAAGGCCTGGAAAATCCATTGGAAAATGGTGGAAGTATATGGACATATAGCATTTATATATGATTATATATGCATTTATAAATATGTTTTTTTTGATATATCTATCTATCTATCTGTCTGTCTGTCTATCTATCTATCTATCTATCTATCTATCTATCTATCTCTCTCTCTCTCTCTCCATCGCCCTCTCCATGTATTTATATCTATTTATAAGTATTTATAAATATATATATATATATGTATGTATCTATAACCGATTTTTAGCTATGAAATCATTAGGGTCCAACCAGCAAAATGAAGGTTTCATCAAGGTGAATTTTTGCAGCAATCATATGAACTGTGAAACGGAGGGTCTTACAAGGAGGAAACCCACGAAATAATATTGGCCAAATGACTTCAAATAGATGATGGATGCGACCAGCCTGAAACCCTGATTTGAAAAGATAAGATTTTAAGCACCAGCAAAAGGATGTAAGTTATATGCTTAATAATCACGCCCTATATATAATCTGCCCAACAAAAACAGTTCAAGGGGCAGAAAGGCAGAAACATCAAATTCTCAATGGAATTTGCCAACAGAGCGTCCCAGCGATCACTGCTGAGTGCAAAAAAAGTCCAGCGCTGGAGCAAGATACTCGGCTGGAAGAAGGACGTAAACCTGCCAAAACCATCCAGTAATCAAACACGGCGTGCTGGAAAATCATCCATTTATATGTAGATGATTTTTCTATTAAAATGCATGATAACGCACATGCTATTTACAGGAGATTTCCCCATTGCTATATGATATGTTTGATTACCACAGGGTAAATAATCCACTTGCCAGAGGTTGGTAACAGCAATAATGCTGGTGGATGCTGGTGGGTTCAATCAGTCCCCCAAACATGACAGTCAAATTGGGTCACGCGCCCAAGGGGAAAAATGCAAGGCATATGGATGATCAATGTTTGAAAACCTGACTACTGCTAGTATGGACAATACCCGCAAATCAGCCATGGAGAATGAAGACCAAACATGGCAACTTCCAGCTGCAAATGCCGCACTCCGAACTCCAATGTTCTCAGTGCCCTGAACCTAGGGTTAAGCTGGTTGGATACAAAAACCAAGTGTTGTTGTCCAAACAAATATGATATCGCACTAGTGGTTAGGGGGGAACGATTTGGAGCTTGCATGAGCTTGCGGTATATGTTTTCTCCATTTTGCGGAGCCAGTTGGAGCTACAAATTGAAATTCCCAACCACATAATAGACCATGATATACCCCAAATCGAGGTTTCCTAAAATGAAATGGGGGTACTACCGGGTACCCCCAGTCATCATCCATGTTATTTTCTGATTTTCAATCATAAACCATCCAGCTATTGGGGTACCTCCATGACTATGAAATGAAACCCGCGAAATCTGGTGAATGCGTTTCTTGTAAACGGCCGTAACCGGCAGCTGGCAACAGGCCCCTGCCTCTCGACGTAGGGCAGAAACGCTTTCTGCATGGCAGGCTGCTGCCGGATGCGGCGAAGAGCTTCCTTGAAAACTTGACGTGTCCAAGGAACCATACAAAGAATTTAACCAACAATGGTGGGGATATCATGCGGGAATACAATGGAAACATCATGGGAATATAATGGTATAGAACTACGTAACTGACCATAACTGACAAACTAATTATACATGATTCTTGGGCATGTGTGTGTATGTGTGACAGCAGTGTGTGTGTGTGTGCGTGTACCATAAGCAGCGTTAATTGATGGAAAAACCTTATTCATTAATTGCTAATCTTGTCAATCATTTGGGGTTCCATAATTCAGACCATACACAGTGATGATAAGAGGTGATCAGCCTGGTTTCAGAAATGATCTTCATGATAGCCGGTCTATACTTGACAATGATCACGGCCAAAGTGACCATAGTAATTTCATGTAATTTCTACCTGTAATCTTGCGATGATCATCCAAGCACCCTCGTCAAGTGAGCACATTAAAGAACGACAATCCTTGGGATGATCCCAAAAGATGACCCCAAGTCCCCCAAACCCCACTCCTCCCATCCCCGGCCTGAAATCCCGCCGGCCCGGGTCGGAAGGGCAGCCCTCGAAACCTCCCCAGGTACGGGGCCCCTAGAGCCCCGAAGCCTTCGAAGCGCGGTGAGTTGCGGGGAAGGTCGCGGGTCACCGTGCGCCAGTCGAGGGATAGATTTGCGGGGTCGCTGAAGCGTTGCAGGGCCAACTTAGCCGAGCCATGGGACGTCCTTGGTGACATCTGCGACACGAAATCTGCGAACACCGTTGGATTTTTGATGGATAGGAATCGGCTAAAATTGTGGTGATTTTTTTTCACTTGGAATCACTTAAATCGCAAGTAGCATCAGCGAGAATCGGTGACAAAGGCAGTGGTCTTGGTGTAATCTTACAAGTTCAATTGAGTACGTGTCCTTCTTCAAACTTAACACCGCATGGATTTGGCACAAAGAAAACAGGTACCCAATGGTACCCAATTCCATCCCATGGTTGATCATTGTTTTTGCTATTAACAACTGCCATATCTTATGCTATCCTTCATGCTCAAACGCAGCCGAAAAGCATGGTGTTGCATATGTTCATCATATAACATCATATAACATCATATAACATCATATAACATCATATAACAAATAACATCATCATAACAGTTTTATAGCACCAATGTTGAAACGGCGAAAATTTGGTGAAACCATGGTGAAACCCAATCAATGCCCTCAGTTTCCCCCCAGTTTTTCCAGAAGAACCCATCCCAGTGTCATGGGAAGGAAGTCGATCGCACCCCAAGCCCATCCAATGTCCAGCTGTTCGATATCTTCGAAAGGCATATCCAGGTCCTTGCGTTGTGCGACAGGCTGGGACTGGTGGACCAAGTTTTTTCCTCAACGTGGGAATCGTTGCATATTGTGGACAAGGTGAACCAGTCAGGTGGACATGCTATGCTGCAGCTCCCCGACACCTCCCCATATTCAAACAACACCCGAAAAAACAGAACATCTCCGCAAAAACACGATACACAAATAACAAGTGGTTCTACTCTTTATATATGTTCATATATATATATGCTATTCAACAATTCAGCATAATGTTCAAAACATGATAAAACGTATAAAACATGTTCGATTTCTCCACCAAGAAAAATCTGTAGAGTAATATGGATAATATGGGTTCAATTTTGGATCAGCATCCCATTTTAAGTTAAGGGTGGAACATTAAAAACAATTGCCATCCCCAGCCATATCATCATTGATGGATAAATCTCGATGTTTCCCGGCTAAATCTCCATCATTCCATGTTCGGATCATGGTTGGATACATGATACATGTGGATGGTTGCGAAATCCTGCACCAGTTGATAACTATCAGTAACAGTTAGTAACTATGAAGCACTGTAAATAATGGGATTATGTCATCGGATAAACTATCTACCAACTGGTGCAGAATTTCGCAACCATCCACAGTACGTCATAGATCTTCCCACACCATACAACAACTCTACGCCATGAAGAAATCTGGCCATCAGCAGTTCCAGCCATCAGCTCTGCCACGTCACTGGAAAGAACGTCTTTAACATCGCGACCCAAAAGGAAGCGCCATGACCTCGCAGCGAGCTGCCAGGGCCAAACTTTGCCGCTGTCTGTTATGCCGCTGTTCTTGAGGATATCTCTGGTATACTGTACACAAATACACTATTATATATATATATATATATATTATATTAAAATATATTGTGGGAAAATATTGGATATAATATGTAATTAATAAGATATGGGAAATATATACATTAGTGATAAACCCAGCTTCTGAAACAGTTGAACATCAAAGCGTCAGGGTCAAGGCATGTCAGGTCCTTCTTGAAATGAGAATCATTGAGATGTGGCATTTTCCCCGTTAAACAAACACAGCTAGATGGGAGATCCTCGAACTCAATGGAGATTTCTATTTCTAGCTGGAAAAAAACATCCAGCCAAATGCGGCATCTTCGCTTGCCACGTTTGACCGGAGTTTGCTTCAGGGATGGACCGGATATGACCCGATGACTTTGCCCATATGCTCCATGTATGGAATATTTACCAACATTTACCCTAAAAATCACCCAAATGTAGGTAAATATACCATACATGGAGCATATGGGTTGGATACGGTGCTTTCCTGAGAAACACTTTGTGCATCTTTGTGCGTTTCTGATTCTAAGTTCGATTGGCAGTTCGCACTGCGTACCTTTCGGAGAGAAACAACGATACCATCCCCAATCCATTCTATTTTGAAAAAATGTTGTTTTTCTTTATTCCCTGCATCCACAATGGTGAGGGGGTATTTAATACGAACCGGGGAACGGATTGGCTGGAAATCATACTAGGTGGCTCATCCAACTAACTATATAAGTAGGTTATATCCCTGGTTACAAATGAGCTAAGTAGGCTTGTGTTCACTCATAACTGGGGTTATAACCCACTTACTGGGGATGAACCACCAAGTAGGGAGAGAACATAGAGCTGCTCAGCCTTTGATACCTCAATAGGTTTGTTGGAGACCCCATCTGTTTGCGTTGGAAATTACCATCTGGTTATTTAACAATATTTAACATAGCTATGGAAAATGGCCCATTTATAGATGGTTTACCTGGCTTTACCTATAAAAAATGGTGGATCTTTCCATGGCTATGTTAAATAACCAGATAGTATATGCTGTGCATTTCTGAATCCTCAAACAATTTCCCGGAAGGCTTATCCCAGGGCTCAAAATCTCCAAAAACCACCACTGTTCCAATCTCAACGCAAAAAAGAAGAACCGTGGTAACTGTGGCATCGGCCCACTAGTCGTCGTCAAGAAATGGTCCAGAATTTTCCCATCGACCAAACTCAGCGGCTGTCCAAGTTTTCAAAGATCTCGTAGATGTCCTGCCCACTCCACAGGTTGATGGAGCTTAACAACCACGAAACATTTTTGGCCTTATTTGGGTGGTGACATTGTGGGGGGGCAACCTTTAACTTCCATGACTAAGGGGTGTTAATGATGGTTGATAATTACAAATCACTGTTGGAAGTACTGGTTAATAACAAAATATCATATACTATGTATATATATAAATATATCAATATCAATGTGATCAATTTAGTGGTTGTGTAACAATAGGATACCACATTGGTCGGAATATGTGATACCAAATACCAGTAGTACTGCACAAGGCGGTGGCGGAAGTTTCAGAATAGGAAACCTATAGGAGACGTTGGTTGTTGTGAATCACGGATGGCAGAGCGAATCCACTGATTGACCGAAAGGTGGTTGGAGTTGTGTTTGCTGGAGTGGTTGCAATGGTTGCAGTGGTCACCTCACCCACAACTGCTGGATGTAGTGTGATGTACTGCAACTGTAGTTGTAGTTGTAGCGTAGTGGAGTTGTAGTTGTGGTGTAATGTAATTAGTGTAGTGTAGTTGCAGTCATATAGTCATATAGTTGTAGCTGTAGCTGTTTTGTAGTTGTAGTTGTTGTAGTTGTAGTTGCAGTTGTAGTTGTAGTTGTTGTTGTTGTTGTTGTTGTTGTTGTAGCTGTAGTTGTTGTGTGGTTGTAGTTGTTGTGTAGTGTGGTTGTAGTAGTAGTAGTAGTAGTAGTAGTAGTAGGAGTAGCAGTAGTAGTAGTAGTAGTTGTTGTTGTTGTAGTTGTTGCTGTTGCAGTTGTAGTTGTAGTTGTAGTAGTTGTTGTTGTTGTTGCTGTTGTAGTTGTAGCTGTAGTTCTAGTTGTAGTTGTAGTTGTAGTTGTTGTGTAGTTGTTGTAGTTGTAGTTGTTGTAGTTGTTGTAGCTGTAGTTGTTGTAGTTGTAGTTGTTGTGGTTGGTGTTGTTGTTGTTGTTGTAGTTGTAGTAGCAGTAGTAGTAGTAGTAGTAGTAGTAGTAGTAGCAGGAGTAGTAGTAGTAGTTGTTGTTGTTGTTGTTGTTGTTGTTGTTGTTGGTGTTGCTGTTGCTGTTGCTGTTGTCGTCGAAGTTAGGGTACTTAAGTTAGTGAAGTTAGTTAAGTTAGTCAAGTTAGTTAAGTTAATCAGTGTCTACTTTTTCGACATCTTCACGTCGAAAAAGGCTCAAAACCCTCAGTTTTTTACACTTTTGACTTCGAAATGTGCTTCGCGCCACAACGGCGTGCACTTTTTCGACGCTTTTTCGACATCTGAACCTCCAAAAGTGGTCCGAGACCGCCAGTTTTTAACACTTTTGACTTGGAAATGTGCTTCGCGCCACAACGGCGTGCACTTTTTCGACATCGCAACTTCCAAAAGTCGTCCGACACTGAGGTGTTTTGTACATTTTGACTTCAAAATGTGCTTCGCGCCACAACGGCGTGCACTTTTTCGACATCTCAACTTCCAAAAGTGGTCCGAACCTGGTGTGTTTTGTACATTTTGACTTGGAAATGTGCTTCGCGCCACAACGGCGTGCACTTTTTCGACATCTCAACTTCCAAAAGTGGTCCGAGACCGCCAGTGTTTTGTACATTTTGACTTGGAAATGTGCTTCGCGCCACAACGGCGTGCAATTTTTCATCGCTCCTGTGGCCAGCTGGCTCCGCACCCGCCGCTTTAGCGAGCCTACTTTTCGACCCTCCGGAGCCACAAATCATTGGAAAAACACAGTGTTTCGCGACTTTCCTACCTTTTCGCGCATCTGTAGCGTCTGTCCTCTTACTCTTTCTCTTCTGATCTTCTCTCTTCTAATCTTCCTCTTCTCTGTGCCTCTGCCCTGCTCTGCTTTTCATCTCTCCATATTGTCGGAAGTTTGACTTCTAAACTTCCTTCGATCAATTTTAACTGTTAGATATCACATTTAGGATGATGCTGGGCACCCGAGAAACTCGTAGTAGTTCAAACTGGCTCCCCATTATAACATATGTACCCCGGCAAAAAAAAAAACTCCATTTCTCTCCCCAGTTCAACGGCGACTCATCCGGCGTCCTGGAACAAATACTTCAAAGGCGACAGGTACGCTGCATGCAGCGCATTGCGCTTGTGCTTGTCCAGGAAGATCTCCGCATGCTGACGCACCAATGCCATGGCCTCAAGGGTCAACCGCGGATGGCAGTGCTATGCATACAGTGCTGGAATATAACTGCACATAATTTAGAAGAGCATAGAATAATACATAATTATATATCTATACATGTGTATCTATATATATATATGCATATATATGTATATATATATGTATTATACAATCAACCTCCTCCTCCCCCCAAAAAATGCAATTAAAAAACAGGTGGTCCCCCAGGATTAATAAACACCCCCGATTATAAAACCTCCAGTGCTGAAATCATTTTTCTATCCAGCATTATTTATTTCCAATTCTATTTATTTCCATTTATTTTTACATTTTTTTTTATCATCATTGTTATACTTAAGGTTTAAGTTGATCATTGAAAATTTCAAAAAACAACTATTCCCCAGATGATCGATTTTTAATTAAAATCTTTATAAAAATCATCAGTTTGGATAGCTCCCAAAGGGTACCCCCCATGAGCCCATGCCCCCCATTAATAATAACCAGGGTTTGCCCCTGATTAATCAACCACCTTTCTGATCCATGAGATTTTAACAAATCCAATGGAATTCTATTAAGATCTAATTGACGTAAGCCATATCCAAAGTTTTATGGTTCAGAGAAGAAAACCTGTCAGAAGGTACCCCCCCTACCTTCTGGGGGGGGGTTATTAATCCGGTGTTGGCATTATATATATATACATATATATATATATGTATATATATATATATTATGTATATATATATGTATATATATATATATACATGTATATATAAATATGTCTGCTTATAATTCACAAAATAACCGCCTATTAGCACCAAGAAATGATACATAGATGTTGGAATTCTCTCTCTTCTAACCCGTCGCAGCGGGTCACCTGCTGCCGATCGCTTGGTACTGGCCGGCCATCTGGGCGCCGTTCAGCATCCAGCAGATCCTTGGCTGGGAGGACTCCTGGCACAGGGCTACAGTTGGTCATTATTAATTACAATTTGGTTACCGTACATTGTAATTCAACTATACGGTAGTAGTAACTATGTGCATATATATATAGTTCATTGATGTTTATTGGTTATAGTTAACTTTAGTTGAACCAATGCTGACTATAATATGCAAATCATTGCTACAATTTCTTCATTACTTTGATTAGAGTTAGCATTAGTAAGAGTCATAACCACATAACCAGAGTTTGCAAAAACCAACTGTACTTGCTATATTTTGCTATGTTACTACTAGAGCTCATCGTAGTTACTATTGGGCAAACCTGATGAGTTTGCTCTCACACCAGTACACCAGCTTAAGATCCCCTATCTCAAGTCAAGTTACCCTGGGGGTAAACTAACATAGCTAAAACCCATGGATGTTCATGGTTTTTCCCTATATTTTTGTCGAACAATTACACAGTGGTGGGTTTTCCACATCTATACATATTATACATGTTCGTTTAGAGGAGGATGACATCCGAAATTACCTCTTTTGTTGGGGTGGTATTTAGCCCTTGTAATTTCGGGATTCATCAATCTAAAGGTGACAGAAATGAAATGGGAAGTCCTTAGGGCGATCTTGGTGCAACCTCCATGGAGGGAACGTTAACATACCCTCTGGTAAACTAACATAACTATAGAAAATCACCATTTTTAATAGGTAAATCAACTATAAATGGTTATTTTCAATAGCTATGTTAGTTTACCAGAGGGTAAGTTCCCCAAAAGGTTCTTACAAATGTCCCGAGTTTCGTGGAACGTTGAAAAAATATCACCAAACTTTTGTACAGCTGGAACCTTTGGAGTTCTGCCATGGCTCGTAGACGCAGTATTCAAAGACTTCCTTGTGACGACCTACGCAGTTGTAGCACGCTTCATGCATCTGGAGCAAAATGTTCACCAGCAACTGCTTCCTGTAGATGGTCACGAGATATCTATGCGGGAGCGAATTGGGAATATGATCATGATATGTTCCTTATTATGTGTTGCTTAAATTTCTATAGTTATAGTTATATATATATGTATAAATCTAATATATATATATATATAATTATATATATACACATGATACAAAAAAATGAAAAAAGGTTCAGGTTTCGGTTCTTGTGAAACTAGTTTGTGGTTACACTCTGGCAGTTGAACATAACTAAAATAACTAATAGATGATGCAGCAAACAGTGGTCATGTACCGTAGCTACGTCAAATTAGCAATCCGGTAAGGTGCCAGTGATGGGCTCCTACTAGTTGAGCCCCTGGTCAAACCCTGGATAGGGCAAAACACCAGGTATGACCCATGGTGATGTCTGGAAATACAATCGGGTCCATGTAGGTCCAATCTGACATGATTACACTATATCTATATACTAAATATCTATATTATATTAATATCAGTGTATATTATATTAGATTACATATTATATATATATATACAGGCAAGTAGATTACACTTATCTGTCTCTGTCTTCCTGTCTGTCTTCCTGTATCTTCCGCGCTGCGCCGCTGCGCCGCTGCGCCTGGGGTCTGCATCCTCTAAATCCACGAAGAATCCCAGCAGGGCATGTGCCAAGGCGCGGAACGGTAGGGATCGCCCGGGAATCTTGCGCCTTGGATGCAGCACCATGGAGGTTTTGGTCCTGGATAAAGTGGCCATTTTGAGTGGAGAATTTCAGTGGGGAACATGCGTTCAGAGCCAGGGCCTTCATCGCAAAATCAGGGTTGCTCCGATAGGCGGGAACATTGGCACATGAATAGGGGTATGATTCACCGTTGGAACAATCCTGATTTACGGCCATTTCATGTCATTTCAATGGGGGAAATTAGCTTTTGACTTTGATCTGTTTCAAAACAGTTCGGATTAGCTACTGCACTGAAGAAAATCGTCAGAATGGAAGATGTCAAGCAATTAAAATGATGTTATCCCCAACAACTAAGTAGCACAACAGCAAGGTATATCTTTTTGAATACGTGGCCATTGGCCAATGGCCAGATTTGTGGACCTGGAACTTGTGGCGTATGCCCGATGACGCAAAGGATGGGAATCAGCAGGGATCATTTTTTTCGCTGCTTTCTGTGGTAAACCCAATGCCACAAACCAGTCCATGGCTGCTTTATTCAAGGTACAGTTGCGATGATATACGATGTATCCATTTCTGGGTAAATTATAATATTTCACTAACCTGAATTAAGGCCATTTGGGGATGATTTCCCTTATTAACCATGATTCCAGGCTGAGGTCGCAGTGACATAGATGGTACGGATTCTTGAACTCCTTAAATCTGGGACATATAGCCACTGGTCTCACCAAAATCGGCTTCATGTTGGCGTGCAACAGCCCCAACAAAAAGAACGGCAGTATGGTGGAAGATGGGAGAGAATCTTCCATCACCAATCAGAATTAGAATTTCCTCACAGCAGGAACAGCAAGGAGAGACGACCTCTCTCTACTATGCTAGTTTGTTCAATATTTTCTGGTTGGTGGTATACCTACCCCTCTGAAACATATGAAAGGCAGTTGGGATCATGACATTCCCAGTATATGGAAATTCCTCAAATTCCATGGTTCCAGTCACCACCAACCAGTATAATTAACCACTATTAACCATCATCAACCATCATTAACTATGGTAACCACCCAGGTATTAACCATCATAATAAAAAATGTTCCAAACCACCAACCAGTTTTAACTAGGTAGTAACGCTGACATGACTTCGGATGCTGGCCGGAGAGTATTATTAACTTCCCATGACATAAACGGATGGCTTCAGGGACAATGTTGCAAGAGCCTCCTCAGCATGTTCTCATTAAATTGATTGGATGTTGAATCAATTCAATAACATCATAATCAAAGTTGAAATACAAGCAACACTTGATTACAGGCTTCACAGGTCATTTTGATGTTCCTGTAAATCAATCTGTGAAATCCAGATCCTCAAAGTTGACAGCTCCTGAAGAACTTCGGTGGTCATCCCTGGAGCTGGCACCGGCGCTTTTTGAACTCTGGAGGCAAATGCAGCGTGGTCAGCAACATAGACTACAAAATCACATGGTTCTGTAAAACTATAATTATATATAGCGGTATGTAAATACTGTATATATAAAACTATGTGATTATATATATATACACTTACATATATCTATATCATACGTAGATCTCAAGAAACGATAAATTATATACAGTAACTTCCAAAGTGTTTCCTGATGTGGCTAGATCTGCTTTTTCAAGCTGCAATGCTACAGACAAGCTGCGTCCAAAAGACGCTGGGCTTTACCAGGCCATCTTGCACATCCTCAGCATTTGAAACCACCAAATTAGATGATAAAACAAAATCAAACACAGGTGGACATGATTTATCCATAGATAATTTATCATCAGGTGATCTGAATTTATCCATCAGGTGCTAGATACATTTAGTTCATAGATGAGTCCAAACATGGAGTATCCCGGACCAAATGGTTCCACTCAAAGCTCATATTTTTTTCCCTAGATTTGACCAAATTCAGCCTGGGAGCCGTCCCGGGAACTGCTTTGCACTTCACTTGCTCTCGCAAATCGTGGGGCTCACCGAAGCACATCAGCATTGAGTGGTAGACCTGCGTCCGAAAATTGGGTTACCCTGGGCCAACCAAAGTTCATTCGTTCAATGGAACAAATGATCATTTTCACCACGTATATTTCAGGGTACCCGATCTATAACATAGTTTCAGACAAGCTCAGGTTATGCGGCATGCATCTAGGTTTTCAAGGGGGACCGGGAAACCATGTGAATTTGAAACTAAGGGAATCATATATTTGGCCGACTGATTTGCAATAGATGCACTGTCACCCTGGCGCAGACTGGTGGTTCGGTAGCTTTCTTGACTGATGACAACATAATTATGGTCCACTCAAGACTGTACATCTCCAAGTGAAGGCAATTACCCTCTGGTAAACTAACATAACTATGGAAAATCACAATTTTTCATGGGAAAATTCACTATAAATGGTGATTTTCTATAGCTACGTTAGTTTACCAGAGGGTAAATCCCATTAATATCCCGATTGAATCACTATAAAATCCCATTGAATCACTATAAAATCCCATTAAATCACTATAAATCCCATTAAAATCCCATTGTTTATCTGATTAAAATGATTGACTTATATTAAAACGATTCACTAGTTTCACATCTCGCCACAAGGTATCAAACTCTGACTCACGGCGGCACCGAAAAACCAGCCGGACATCAAATCGCGACGCGTTTGTCAGTTGGGCCCATCCCAAATTGGTTTGACATTAATAACCATTAATAACCATTAACCATTAATAACCATTAACCAGCAACCAGTTCATTGGGAGAGTTTCCCTGAACAAAAAACATCTCTTCGATGGTGAGGTTCTCCAGAAAATCTATGAAAATCTCAGATCCAAGCGACTGGCACGTTGAGTTGGTGTTCGTTCACCTCAGCTTAGGGTCCACGGTAGCGACGAGAAACAGATCTTAGAAACCAGCAGATTCATTGAGTTTCAAGTGGTTAATTCAAACACCACTTAAATAACTCAGTATAGATTATGTGATATAACTCATTATAGATTATATCGATAACTGCCCTCTTTTTATTTATTACATTGCTATGAACATGAACAATGGTCCATTTGTAGATGATAAACATAATGATTCACTACAACAAATACGGTGATGATTCACTTCGCTAGTTACTAAATGTGAAATCACCAAAATGATCCAAAGCTCACCTTCACTAATAATCATCAATAACCAACCATTACCCCTAATTAAAACATACCCTTTGGTAATTTCACACGTTCATGGTATAGATAGCTCCAGTGATAGTACGATTTACCCTCTGGTTATTTGACATATGGTATAGATGGCCGAAACAGATGATTATCCCAGCTATAAACCTCCATTCATAATGGATTTTCCAGTTCGCTATGTTACCCTCTGGTAAACTAACATAACTATGGAAAATCACCATTTTTAATGGGTAAACCCACTATCAATGGCCATTTTCAATAGCTATGTTAGTTTACCAGAGGGTAAATGTGTTAAATGTCCAGATGCTACCCATGAAACCTTGGCGATTTTCACCCTCCTGACGCGGATCTGGATCTGGTGGGCCAGGACACGTTGTCCGCAAAGACCGTGACCCGAACGAAGGGCGCCCAGTCCACCGTGACGTCGTAGCAGAAGGCGATGCAACGCTTCAGGGTGACTTCAAGAGATTCATCCCGCGGCGAAGTGCACACTTCATCCTTAGCTCTGGATGAAGATATTGGATAGATAATTGATATACTATCATTAATAGTTAATGGTTAATGGTTATTAATGGTTGTTAATGGTTAGTGGTTATTAATGGTTAATGGTTATTAATGGTTATCCAATTGATATACTGGTTGGTGGTTGACCTACCCCTCTGAATTATATGAGTTCGTCAGTTGGGATGATTATTCCCAATTTATGGAGGAAAAAAATCCAAACCACCAACCAGTGTATATATATATATGATACACATTGATATCTGATAAATGAACATATATAGACCAAGAAAATTATCAAATTTTAGTGGAAACTAATCGTCCAACCCCCATCTGGCAGGGTCGTCGTGTTCATTTACCAAATGGATTCTGAAGAAGTCATTGGGGATGGATCCCATTGCCTAACATTCATCATCTGATCATCTAATCACAAACTAAGTATCATTAATTATGAATTATCACTAATAATCACCCATACTCAGCAATTATCCCATGATTTCGTAATAGGCTAATACGATTTGGTAGGTTGATCATCACAGTTATGGTCACTAATTAAGTACTAAATCACCATTAATGTGGAGAAAACAATGCCATAAACCATCCCCCAAATCACCATAAATAGGTGGTACAAACCATTGCCAAATGGGTGGTTTATGACATTGTTTTACCCACATTAAGTATCAAATCACCATTATGACTATTGTTAATTACTAATTAAGTACTAAATCACCATTAACAACTGCATTAACTGGTTGGTGGTTTCAACCCCTCTGAAAAAAATATTAGTCAGTTGGGGTTCCTATTCCCAATATATATAATTATATATATATATATGGAAAAATAAAAGTCATGTCCCAAACCACCAACCGGTTAAGTATTAACTTTCAATAAATATTCATCATTAACCATCATTAACCATCATTAACCATAATTAAATGGATGTGGGTCAAAATGGAAGACCCAGGGGACCACAGATGTTAGTCTAGTTTAGTATTCACCATCCAATTATTGGGGTACCTAATTTTGACCCATACCCAAATACTATTAATAGATCAATTGACCCTTGGGTAACCGCAGCCCGTTGACCCAGCAATGCTTCGGGCCGCCGCCAGCTGCTTTACTCGCCGCTGGTACCGCGAGGCTCGCAGGCTCCAGGGCAGCGCCGACAGCACCGCGCTGTCGGCGCTGTCGGCATCCGCCCGGCTCTGGCGGCCGCCCATGGCACCACGTCGATGGTGGTGACTGTTCTCGATTTCGATGTTAAAGTGGGACTTTGTGACTTCATATATAGGGATCTATATGTGTATATATATATATATGTGTGTGTGTGTTTAAAAAAGGCTTGATCATGTCATGTATGTGCATGTACATCCCATTCGGTATATAATTCTTGTGTATATTGCAGTTGGAAACGCAATTCTGAATGACTTATCTTTGACTGATCAAACAGTCTTGCCCCAAGGCAAGGCCCAAGGGAGGCGATAGCTCAACGGCCACATGCGATAAACGTTTGCCCCGACGCGTGTTGAAACACTCCTACACGATTAGAAGACGCAAAAAATGTCGCTATGATTATTCTGTTCTATCCTTATTATATCCTATAAAAATATTTCAAATGTAAATGTATAAATTATACATGTAATTACATATAAATTATACATGTACAATATATACATATACATATATATTTATATATTATGTATGATTTTGTATGTATGTATATATATATATATATATTATATATGAACAGTATGTATTCCCAATACCCAGAGGATTTCCCACCTTTCTGGTAATGGGCTACATCTCCCAAATGCACCAACTCCGCTCGGACTCTTTTTGGGCTTGGTCCGTCTTACTTAACACAAGACAAGTATAGTATCAATTAATTAACTGTAGTGAGTTAGTATCTATAAAAATAGCTGATAAATTGATGTGAGTATCCACAATTAACATCTGTTTACTGCATTTAGATGCATTGCGATGTTTAGACTAGCTGTCGATATGTATCCACATCAACTGTACAATGACAAGAACTAAAGTATCAAATTGATGTTGCTAGCTGGATAACTGAATAGTATCCGCAATTACGTGTATATAGATGTTTAACTGTATCACTGTATAATATCCACAAATAAGTGTATATAGTTGTAAAACTGTATCACTGCATAATATCCACAAATACGTGTATATAGATGTAAAACTGTATCACTGTATAGCATCCACAATTCTATAACTGCATATAGCTGTAAAACTATCACTGTATAGCATCCACAATTATATAACTGTATATAGATGTAAAACTATCACTGTATCACTGTATAGTATCCACAGTTAACTGTATACATCTGTATTTACATGTGAATACTATGACTAGATGTTGATATGTATCCACAAACAACTGTACAATGACAACAATCAAAGCATCAAACATATATCAACCACTGATATACCAATGATACAAATCTGGCTGAATTATGATAATTCACCAACCTGAGAATTGTCGTTATCAGGCGGCCATTTGGGGATGATTCCCCTATTCATTCGCCATCATTCCAGTGACGTCGCGACGTGAAGTCATTATAATTCATCCAAATAAATCTATATTAATCACACCATCGTAACCATTATCAACCATTATCTCTCTCCACCATCATGAACCACTAACCATGGATATGCATCATATTTCAACGCTGGGAACTGGGGATTCCCTTGGCCAGTTACCAATGGGCAATAAGAAACCACATCACGTCAATGGGAAATCCAGGATCCAACAGATGGAGGTACGTAAACGTACCATTTTTCAGGCCAGATTTTCTGGGGATATTCCCTAAAAAATAGGACTTATATATGGAATCGGTACCTCCAATCAATCGGTTCCTGCAATGGCCATTGATCATGGCAATCAACTCCACCATAAATCCACCGTGTTTGGCTGTCAATGCCCATGACGGGGAGCTTTTCAGTGTGGCTTCCCGGCCATCCCATTGTAGCAGAAGAAATCCCCAGTGACCGATGATTTTCCCAGAAATACTGTAGACCTCAAATTTCGTTCCGGGGCTTTGGAAAGCTTTGGAAAAGCCACGTAAAAGCCACGTTTGATGACCCCAGAAGGTATGTAACTTCGGGATTGGCTGGGAACTGCTAAAAAAAACAGTGTGGTTGCGATGTAGTTTACTCCAAGGTACTCAAAGCTTCAGGCCACACCCCATGATTTGTGTAGACAAACAAGGAGGCCTGTCCGGCTACGCTGATTTGTCCGGCTCTGCCCTTCGGTGTCATCCAACGTGGATAGGAAATCAGCAAACTAGCCATGGGGGTTTTCATTTTATAGCTGGGACAATCATCGAACTAAATGTGGATTTTCCTGCTTGCCATGTTTGATTATCAGACGGTACATACGGTGGATGTTCCATATCTACCTCAATATACTGGATGGTATTTTGGGAAAAACACAAAAAAAAGTCAGGAGAAAGTTCAGCATCCCATAGTATGCCATAGTGGTAATTGAAGTAACAACATGTCATATCCCCACCTCCAAAATTGATGCGGGAACCAGTGTACAAAAACTGCGGAGCCGAGTTCAGAACACTCCAGTTGAGCAATGCCATACCAAAGAACTCCCCCTGCAGTCCAGTTATGGGGGGCTTGTTTCATAACACCGTTCAGTATAGATATATCTACCACAAAAACCCAGTTATTGGAGTTGTAAACTAACCCAACTATGCAGCAACACCTTGTAGCTCGGCTGAGCCTTGCTGTTGAAAAAATGGTGTGTAACTGGAGCTATATCTAAAAATAAATATGAAGCATGTCCTTAGGGACCTCAGGAATCTTTGGGATGTTTGGAGGAGGAAAAACCGCTTGGAACATAATTTGGTGGATTGGTTCAAGGGAACATCCACACACCTTCCCTAGTTTCCTGCAGAATTTTTGCTGAAACTCACTGAAAGTATGGTACTGTAAATCCACCGGTTCATCATCTTGTTCCCGATTAACATGGCCGCAAATTGGTGGTAAATTCATGTAAATTCACCCAGTTCTAGAAAAAAAACACTCAAATATTATGTACTGTATCTCAATTGAAAATATATTACTATATCATATTATATTGATATCCCATTTAATTAAGTCGCTCTGTTTAATATTTAGACCACCTACAAATTGGCGGGAAATATGTGTGTCCAGAAGCAGCCACTAATGGTACATTGCTGGTATGTTACATCCCCCTTGCATCTCGTATAATATCCCGATCAAATGGTTCCCTACTTAATTCCTGTTAAAATATCCTATTAATATCCAACATATTTACTGGTGAAAATCCTATAGTCAGCTTAATTACAGAAACATGTTCATATCCTATGAATTTTCGCACTTAAATCCCCTTGATCCTTCCTTGCTGAATCCCCAAGGCACTCCAAGATCACTCACAGCCCGGAGCTCGCCCTGACACGGGGATAGTCACTTAAGATGTCTAATCGTACATAAAAAAATGGAAATGTCATCGTCACCAATATGGGGAAAACATGAAATTTCATGTTCAAGCTACTCCAGGATGACTATATATGTATATAGATTTGTGATGATATGTACATGTACGTGCAAATATATATATATATATTATATTATATTGGAATACTACTTACCATTGGAAAATAACGGGGATAGTGGGGATATGACTTATGGTCCAACCCAAAAAAAACATGTGTAATAGCCGGGACTCATTTACCCCAAACTAGCACAAGTACAAGTAGCTCACATGGCTAGTAAGAGTATCCTTAGCCTAAATAATACTGAGGACTAGATACTGCGTGCTAATCTGCTAATCTCTATATTTGTTGGGGTGGCACATAGAAAGCACTAAAAAAATCCAAAAAGTAGAAAGGTAACTTGCCACAATGCTTGGGTGGGAATTGTTACTTGTCTAAACTTGTCTATCTATCTTGGGGTGCTATGGGGTAACATGCTGTATGACGATTTGAAACATGACCAAATTAAAAGTTCCTCTGGAGTTCGAGAAGAGTATTGTTGCACAAACCAAGGGGGAATTCCATCATCATCATCATCATCAGTGCAATGATTTAATTGTGGCAGCTGTTCCCAGTCACAATGGCTCGTCTTTCAGGAAGGAAATTCCAAGAACGGTAAACCGCAGTGACTATGACAGGAACTGGCCACGATTCTCAACACCCAACCCCCATTGCAAGCCACCCTTGGCTGTACCACTCCCACAATGAAATTCCGAATGGAAGTCGATCCCTTACGCTTCACAGATTGGGAATCAAATAGTAGACCACCCAGCCAAGAGCGAGGGTATGCAGCACAACCATGGGACAAAACAAGAACTAATTCTGGATTAAAAAACATGTTTGGATGGCTGGGCATGAAGTAGTCACCCCTCATGGCAGAATATATATATATATAAATCCACACATCTCCAAGTCACCAGTCCATAAGTCGACGGCCGCATTGTTTTGATGACTTCGAAAAAGCCAAGAAAATCTCCGCAGAAAAACTAAACCTATATATAAACAGATCTACCTCTGCCGCCGTGCGATTTCTGACGAGATCTGCGTAGATCTGCAAGTTCAGGCCCCCATCCATCAATCCCAAAACTGGGAAAGCCGATATGGGATCATCATATGATGCTTTCCATGGGGGTATCCCGTTTCAAAGGTTGGTTTATTCATGGAACATATATGGAACATCCCATCTATAAATGGATGATTTAGGATAACCGAGGCAAATCGCTTAACCGGTTCACCGGGTAGTAGAGAGGGGGCCACCGTGATCTTGGCAGAGGGAAGCAATATGGCCACGACCCATGAGGTCGACGATCTCAGGACATCAACTCCTGGGCTGTGATGGATCTAGTTATGGAGGTTTTCATACTGCAAATGGGAATACCCCAAGAGCTGGATGGTTGATTTCATGGAAAATCCCAATCCAATAGCTGGATGATTTGAGGGTAATCCCATTTTAAGACACCCCCCATATGAGCCATGGTCAATACTCACTATATGGTTGATGGTCATCCCATCCATAATAAGGATCCTTATAATGGTTATTGTAAATCCCTATGAACCATTGGATGACTAGCCCCTATTAATTGTTATTAACCATGAGTATTGACCATAGCTCATATGGGTCCATAAACATAAAACCACTGGAAAAAAAAACGGCACCGCACCACGTCACCAGTCTCCTGGATCTTCCCGCTCTTCAGCAGCGGCAGCACGCCACCCATGCCACCTTGGAGTGCGCAGTGATTTGACCAGCAAAATGCAGGGGGTAAACCAGAAACCATGGGCAAAAATCATGATGTCACCAAGACAACATGATTACACAAGCACAAATGGTGATTTATCCAAAATACGTAGAGATATAACAGCTACTAGTACAATGGGGATTTAATCCACCCCAATGGATCAAAATGAAGACTTGTCGCTATGATACTCATATGCGAGACACGGTGGCTTAAATGTTGAGAAAACTGGCACACCAATTGCTGATCTTACATGCTGTCCCTCCCAAAACAAGGGTGGCGCTCTCCGCATGGATCTTACCATTCTATCCCTATAATTTTCCCATGAAATCTCCGCAAATCTGCCAGTAAAGGGCCTATAAAAAACCCAATGAAACCAGCAATTACAAGGACACAAACACAAGTCAATATAATAATAGCACAAGGAAAATGAAGACTATCAAGAGGACCCAAACATTCAAAACCACAAAAATCCTCCGACATCCATTCGACAATGTTCCACCCGAGATGCCGTCGTTGCATCCGCCAATAGAGTTGCCTGGCCCAAGCAGCAGCACATGGAATGGAAACAAGAGTCTATATAGCTCTCTTGACACTGACTGGTGGCCACCACTCAAGCGCATATTTACCTTCCGGTAAAGTAACATAGACCCTGGCAGATAAGGGTTGGAAGACTGGTTTCCACTCAAAATGGCCTATTTTCAGGGTCTATGTTAATTTACCAGAGAGTAATCATATTTATGCATATGTTGGTATGAAAGATTTAGAACATCCGTTGAATGAACCAGAATCATAACAAGGCTACCCGCAGCCTACCGAAAACAAATGCTATCAACCGTGTTTATCCTTGGACGCCGCCAAAAAAACATTGAACAGGAAATGTATAAAGGTATTGCAATGTATTACATGGTCCTTCGAGAAAAAAACACACAATCACCCATAAAACCAATCACTCAACTATCCGTTTGCCTTGATTCACCAGGATATATATATATATGGGCCTGGCCCATTGTCTGTAACAGCTTTCACAAGCTAGAGCACGATTTTTGCACGATAATGAACCGATCCCCTACATGTCACCCGGGGGGGAATGGTTCTTGGGCTCCAGGTTGTCTTCCCTGATTGTTTCAGGTTGTGAAACTAAATAGAGGTAGTTGCACCATATCAAAACACCCCGTTCAACAATGGTGTATATTCCCAACTCTTGGCGATGTTCATGCGGGAGCCGATCCTTGGATTTGAGGCTATCTGATGGGTGGTCTCATCCAAGGTCAGATTGAATCGCTAACCAGCTATGATCATCATGGAAGGTGAGGTTGACCTGCGGTTGAACTGACCCAGGCTGACTACTTCCAACGAATAACATGGACCTCAGATGGACCACAAGCTGTTCCGAATCCAATTCGTGTTTTTCCAAGGCCCAAGGTTCGCACAAAAATGGTAATCTTAAGTATTGCGGCATCCATTTTCTGCGTGGTGTTTGTTTTGACCCGTGCGCAAAATCACATTTTCGATGGCTAACACCAAAAACCCAAGAAACATACATATATGTATGTGTGTGTGAGATATTCTGTGACACAGTGATCCCTGTGAATGTGGAACCAATTATACATACATTATATTTATACATGAACAAATATACTACATGTTGATACTCACATTGCCATTTATGGGGTCTATTTTTTTGGTATGAGCAAATGGTACAAATTTCGGTCATTTACCATGACGCCGTGGTGAGGTTGCTTAGACATATCCACTATTATATTGCATATTGGTTCAAGTTCATAAATGTAATTAATCATGTAGTTAATCCCTAGAGAATCCCAACAACCCCAATATGATATATATCCCCCATAGCATGTAAATCTATAAATGCATGAACTGCTTTGAAGGCATGAAAAGTTTAAAATAAGATGTCATGTAATCCATGTTATCCATTCCGTAAATGGACCTACCTGAATTGTGCAATTCCCATATGACATCCAGTTATATCTGCACATATTTCAGTAATTTCAAATATACAACTAATTAAATATAAGTATACATTCAAAATTATAGAAATATATATATAAATCTACACCTCTACGTGTACATGTGTATATATATATATATATTTATATGCATATAATATTCTACATATGGATGTTCCCGGTCCCCGGATGTTCCCGAGCTCGCCTTTCACCCAGACCTTGGGCACGCTCGAGGAACTGGTCTTCTCTGTCAGCTCGCTCCTGACCCAAAGTTTACCCCAAAAAAAAAGCTGGTTTCAATGGATTGGTTTAAGGGAAAATTGACAGGAAAACCTTCAACTTATTGATGCAGATTTGTTTTTCCAGTCTGGTGCACTTTTCCTTGCTATTTGCTACATTTTGGAACAAAAACTTGTACTTTGCTGAATTTTGGAGCTAACATTTGCCATTTGCACTGTTCATCGATTGTTGAAGCACAACCGTGTTGGGTCCAAGTAATGGCATTGGATGCTGTCATAGTGTTGGTTGGTTTAGGATTTATTTAGGGTTGGTTTAGAGTCATTTAGGATTGGTTTAGGGTTGGTTTAGGGTTTATTTAGGGTTGGTTTAAGGTTTATTTAAAGTTGGTTTAGGGTTTATTTAGGGTTGGTTTATGGTTGGTTTAGGGTCATTTGGATTTGCTTTAGGGTTGTTTTAATTTTTTTTCGGGTTGGTGTAGAATTTATTTGGAGTGGTTTGGTTGATTTAGGGTTTATTTAGGTTTGGTTTAGGGTTTATTTAGGGTTTAGGGTTTAGGGTTGATTTAGGGTCATTTAGGGTTGGTTTAGGGTTGGTTTAAGGTTTGTTTAGGGTTGGTTTAGGGTTTATTTAGGGTTGGCTTAGGGTTGATTTAGGGTTTATTTAGGTTTGGTTTAGGACCGGTTTATGGTTTATTTAGGGTTTGTTTAGGGTTTATTTAGTGTTATTTAGGGCAATTTAGGGTTATTTAAGGTTGGCTTGGCTTAGGGTCTATTCAAAGTCTGTTAAGGGTTTGATTAAGGTACATTTAGGGATACAAGGTTGGTATATAAAGAAAAAAAGAAAGAACGATCGATAGATCGATGGATGGATTGATGGATGGATTGATGGATAGACAGATAGATAGAACGATAGATAGATAGATTGATTGATTGATAGATTGACAGCTTGATAGATAGATAGATTAGATAGATTAGACAGGTTAGAAAGAATAGATATATTAGATACATAAGATATATTAGATAGATTAGATAGATAGGTAGATGGATAGATACATTAGGTTAGATTAGATTAGATTAGGTTAGATTCCATTCGATTTGATTAGATCGATTAGATCGATAGATCGATAGATAGATACATAGATAGATAGATAGATAGATAGAAAGATAGATTGATTGGATTAGATTCGATAAGATTGGATTAGATTAGATTAGACTAGATTAGATCGATTAGATCGATTAGATTGATTAGATCGATTAGATCGATTAGATTGATTAGATAGATTAGATCGATAGATTAGATAGATTAGATAGATTAAGAAAAATAGATAAGATACGATTAGGTTAGATTAGATTAAATTAGATTGGGTTATGTTAGATTAGATAGGATAGATAGATAGATAGATAAGTAAAGCACGGTAAAGCCACAAAAGCCACACACCCACAAACGCCACAGAAGACACACAGTTATCCAAAAAAAAACGCAAACACACATAGCTCTCCTATATTCATTGGGAACATCAATGGTCTCCTCTAGATTTTCCCTTAAGCCAATCCATAATGCATATTTAATCCTCCAGTATGGTCAATGCATAGGCTTTTTGATCCATCCTCATAAAGCGACATCAGCATCTGCGAAAATGGGATAAATCTGAGTCATCATATTTATTGTTTGCATCGATGTTACCACCTGTATTTTTGGTAATATCAACTGATGTCAAGTGTATATGCATATGTGTGTGTAAATCTTCCGGGGCCCCACTTTGAAGCAACACACCTGTGTATCGAGATTGAGTGATGTACATCCTATTTTTTTCTGGACCAAAACCACCTGAAGAATTTAGAAGAGTCGCAACAAGTTTCTATGATTGCGTGTTTTTTTTGATGGCCAATCAGTTGGATATGAGACGTCCCCACATGGCCTAGGAGGAAACCATGGCACTAGAGAAAATTGATTTGACCATATATATATATGCATGCATGCTTATACTTAACAATCAAACATATTTTTACAATCTGAATGGTCACCAGTTCCCCTTTGATTTGCATCCCATGAGATCTCCTGCATGTAGTTGGTGCTGTATCTCAGCTCAGGGCCCAGGCCATATTGCATTACATCCTGTCATATCCCATCCTGTCATATCCCAAGAAACCCAATCAAATGTGATATGGAACATTTAATGGGATATGACAGGATAGGGTCATTTTCAAAATTATCCCATTTCAAAATTATACGTCCATTTCAAAATTCAGATCCACTAAGTTCATCTAAGTTCTTGGAACATCTTGGGAAACAAAAACATCCTGGCATCCCGGCGCGTTTTCGCCTGATGTCGGAAAAGGTTTCAGCTTCGACGATGAATGGCGGGTAGCCGGCATCCGTCAGGGCAGCCACCTGGCAAGTCAGGAATATTCGTCTCATGCATAGCTATGCATAAACAACATGTATTTCAAACAGAAACCATGATACATCAATTTACCTATAAGCACACACACATATATATATATAATTATGTATATTTATGACATATATAAAACATATATTAGCCCATGTGCATCCAATCTATCTGCAACAAATGACAGCTGTCCGCTCTCCGCGTACCGCTTGTTGGCAGAAGGGACAGGTCTGGGAGATGAATGCGATCACCTCCTAAGCGCATGGTGGAAATTGGAAAACGCAAAAGCTGGGGCGTATGGTGTATGATAGTATTAACGTATTATTGTATAGTATAGTATAATATAGTTAAGTATAAAGACTGTAAGGTGTTAATGTTATTATTGTATAGTATAGTGTTGTTATAACACTTGTTAGTGTTAGTTATTGGTATGTGTTATGATGTGTTACTATAACCGTATGTAAAAATAAAAAATAAAAAATGGGAAAACATAAAGGAAGGGATAGAAATATATCATGTACTTATAGAGAAACATATAAACGTGTATGTACATGAATCAAAGTAATGTAATGTATACATGTAACAAGGTGTGAGCTGGGAAATTGGGTCGAACCATAAAAAAAATGAATTTCCTAATTCTTAAACAAATAAAAATATACATATGATATGTATATCTGTATAAATGTATTTCCAATCCCATGAAACCATATTTCTGAAATCTGACATGAAAATACAACACCATTCGCCCAACTGGTTCCGGTACGTCAATTCATCCACCATTGCTGGCTAATACTTCAGCAGTTCCCAACAATCCCTCATGAGTGATCAGGGCTGATAATAAACACACTAGATTGTAGTTGTATCCCACTCTTGCGGTTTACTACCTCTAAAGGCAAACACAAACCATCGCGTAACCCCAAACCCAAACTAAATCAGCCGCGTAAATAAGGGACCAAAACACAATAATAGTTTAAAAGAAAAACATCCGTGCAACCCCAAATAGGGGAGGCAAAGAAAAAAAACAAAGCTTTTGTGTATCCCGAAATAAGGGCAATGTGGGTCAAACAATAATAAACCATCCCCCAGCCATCACCATTTTTAAAGGTGGGATTCCAACCATTCACAAATGAGTGGTTTATGGCATTGTTTTACCCACATGATTCCAATTATTCCAATTATTAACCATTATTAACCATTATTAACCGTTATTAACCTATAGTTTTACCCACATTACACCCATTGAACGAGAGGCAGCCCAGATTGGGACGCCAAGGAACGTGCTCAGCAATCAGCTCGTCCACCGAGGCCCCTCGGAGCTGATTCAGCTTGGAGAAGGATGATGCGAATGATGAGGATGGGGATGATGATGGTAGTGATGATACGTGATGGTGATGATGTGTGATGATGGTGGTGATGATGGTGATGATGTGTGATGATATGTGATAACATGTGTTTGTTAATGATTAGTTCAGTCATTGTTATTATAATCAACAAATCATTAACAACCAACAACCACTAAAATATCATCTATAAATCATTTAAATATATATATATATATTATATCACTATTTCGTGATGATGATGATGATGATGATGATGGTAGTGGTTTATTAGTGTCTGTTAATGGTTACTACTGGAAATTAATTGAATGGTGACTAATGGTTGATGATGATGAATGCTTTTTCCCACGAGTTCCTCTACTGAAGCCCTGAGGCTCCCGGGCGCATGGCAATGGCCTGGGCTCTGGCCTGGTGTCACCAATCCGTCCGACAGGAACGAACAACGAAGCAAACGCATACTTGCACGACAATGAAAACTACTCATAATATATAATGATTGTTAATATGATAGATATGATTGATAATACTTATTATATATTATATTTATTCTTCTATATATATATAGGATTGTTCTACTATCTATCTATCTATCTACCTACCTATCTGTCTATCTATCTATCTATCTACCTATTTATCTACCTATCTATCTATCTATCTATCTATCTATCCATCTATCTATCTATGATTGCTAATTTATGCATATACATGCATATACCAATGAACATGTGAAAGTGATTAGGGCAGGGCAAACATCTCACAAGGTTGTCGGTGACCTCATGAAACGTGCTTGCTCCCAACTACCAACAGCAGCCTACAATAAAAGTTTCACTATGGATGTAAGTCGCCAAGTCACACCTGGGCACAAAAGTTAGAAGTTGAACAATGGTAATTTTAGGCGCAAACACCCCGTTTCGCCCACACCCTTCTTGTCTTGGGAAGATCAAGAAAGGCATTAGGGAATATAAAAATCCCACCCTCGTTAAACTTTACATTCGTTTTACATTCATTGAAGATCTTCAATAAGGGTTCAATTCTCCCACCCGCGTTAAACCTCTACATTCATTGAAGGCCATCAATAAGAGTTTACTTCTCCCACCCCCGTTAAACTTCTACATTCATTGAAGATCTTCAATCAGGGTTCAATTCTCCCACCCGCGTTAAACCTCTACATTCATTGAAGATCTTCAATAAGGGTTTAATTCTCCCACCCCCGTTAAACTTCTACATTCATTGAAGGCCTTCAATAAGGGTTTAATTCCCCCACCCCCGTTAAACTTCTACATTCATTGAAGATCTTCAATAAGGGCGGGTTTAATTCTTCCACCCCCGTTAAACTTCTACATTCATTGAAGATCTTCAATAAGCATTTAATTCTCCCACCGGGGTTAAGCTTCTATATTCGTTGAAGATCTTCATTGATGATGATGATGATGATGATGTGGAACGAACCCGCACAGGTCCCCCTGCGCGCGTTCTGATCTAGAACATCAAGTTATATAACCATAATGCTAAAATATACAGTACAATTTTAACCACGTTTTCAGCTCATACGAAGAAGGCGGGCCAACAGGCGCGGGCAAGACGAGGTGTTTGGCCGTAATTTTACCCAAATATCAGCTGTCAGTGTAGACAAACCTCTGAATTGAGTGACCATCACTAGACTGTTTGTGAAGAGCACCAAACAATGAAGTTGTCCGCTCCACACCTCAAACTTCACGTCTGCAACGGCACGAAACGTGGTCTAAATAAACCAAAACCTGCATGTTTAAAGTAGGTTCCCGCAATTACCCCAGCTTCAAACAACACCCATATCATACAGCATGTATTGCCATGAAGACGGACACACATACACACATGTATATATATATATATATGCATTGGGGCTCGCAGTAAATATTCACATGTCTAATTCAGAAACCAATTATATATATATACATACATCATACATGTGAACGTGTTTTTATTCATATAGTTACTGTACTGATTTTCAGGTGTACTTGGAACCACTGATTCAAATCGCCAACACAAACAAGTTCACACCTTCGCAGCCACCTTATGAATTATATAAAAGTCGGTAGAACATCACGAACATGAGCTGTCAAAAGGCACAAGACCCAGGTTGATCTTCCAAATCTTCTTCTTGGATGCGTATTCCCGCTAGAATGTGCTTATAAGTCATAGTATATAGCATGTTATTACCCTAGAAATAATAATAATGATAATAATAAAAAAAAATGTGTTCCAAGGGCAATGGCATTATCTTGTGATTCCTTAAATGTAGCATTCACATACTACCAGTGACCACAAGAAATATCATCTCATATCATCTCTTTAGCGGGGAGTATCGTAAACCATACTTCACCTACTTTTTGCCCGCTATCCTTGCTTTAACAAATCAACCGCACATCGCCATTTTTTGGCTAATGTGTGTACAGCAAAAGCAAGCCATACCAAATTTTATCAATTTTTATTCGTGGTATAAACATGTACAAACGATCCATCCATATGGGTGGTTTATCTTATCTTTACTAAAATTAGTTCCATCCCCCTAATATTAAGCACCCCCTTAATGTTCAATCTCCGATCTTTCATGGGTGACATTTACAACGCACCAGTCCACCGGTTCCCTCGCCTTGCGTGGCCCATTCTTGCGCGACACGGCACCCAGCGCACCCAGCGCACCCAGCGCACCCAGCGTCAGCGATGATGACGCTCCGAGCCTGGGCACATGGGACTTCACGTAGCTATCAATGGATTGGTTGAAGGGAAAATTTACAGGAAAACCCATGGACCCCCCCCATATTTCATGGGAATATCAAAGGTTTTTTTTAAAAATTTTCCCTCCAACCATTCCAGTGAAGCTGTGCTCAGGGAACAAAAATGATATTTCAAGGAAATCATAAGGGGGGTTAAGCAGCAGCAAGATGCAAAAATGCGGTACTTCTTGTCATTTTGGGGAACACAGAGCATATACAGTTCTCAAAAATGATCAAGAATTGCTTTACTTCCAGTGGTCGCAACCAACTTACATATGTTTCGACATTTTGTCTTACATATTTTCTGTCAGTTTATCTGACACTCTCTCTGGCCTCTTATCTGCCATTCTATTTGAGATGTTCTCTGGCATTCTATCTCATGCTTTATCTGGCATTCTATCTTCCATGGCATCTGGCATTTTATATGCTATGTAATCTGTCATCCTACCTGGCATTTGATCAAGCATTCTATCTGACATTAAAAAAACTTGTAAATTTATACGTCAATAATATGATATTTTTCTGGCATTCGATCTGACCCTTGATCTGGCACTGTATCTGACGTATATTCAAACAATTCATCTGACATTCGATCTGGCATTTTCTTTGACATTCTCTCTGACGTTTTCCCATTTTCCCTGTATGCCGCAGTTCGTCGTTTTTTAAAACAAAGGCAACGAATAGTTGCTGCGTTTGGTTTTTTTGGAATCGACCCCAGAAAATCCCGGGGTGAAGCCTAGCCACCCCTCCACAGGTGCTGCTGCTGTTGCCACCAGCAGCAAGTTCATATTTTTGCCATGCAAAAGCAATATGTATGCTGGTTGAATTCCGTATATTTCCTTTCAAAAAACATCAGTTTTGCTGGTTCAATCCTATTTTGGCAGGTGAAATCCAACTTTTTGCTGGTAAATCTTGGTGAAAACCCGACTTTTCGTCCCAAAATCCAAAAAAACAATCCTATAAAATCCCATCTTTCCACCGCATCTCGAGACTCCGCACGTGGCCGAGACAGTGCCGGAGCCCCCTGGCGCCGCTTGCAGAAGGCGCTGATTGGGCTCGTGGCCCCGCAAGGCCGGGGTGGTTGGCACCACCTGAGCCAGGGATTTTCTGGTTGGTTCAAACAACAGAAATGGCTGTATATATATATATATTTATATTTATATAATTGTATATATTTATATAAATTATAAATACATAAATAAATAAATAAATATATATATATATATAGATCTATACATGTAATATAGTAAATGGATGATAATGGATGATAATACCATTCTGGTATATCAAATAGCCAGGGATTCTGGTTGGTTCACCTACTTACTGGAGGATTGGGATGGGTTGCAGCAACAGAAGTGGTGGTATGTGGTGGTATTGAATATACTGAATTCAAATTTTGGGGCATTAGCAACTTTCTTGGGATAACCACCTTGTGGATATTTGACTTGTGGCAAAAATAAATGTTGCCATGTTTTCATGTGGTAAACCCAACACAAGACATTAACAAACGTGAAGTTCTACCATGGTTACTACCATTAACACACATTAACAAACATCAATGAACCATCCCCAAGTGGGCTTCATCATGGTTGAAAAAAAATCCCATGGGCCAATGGGATCAAATCCACCGCCCTCCGGGCCCTCCGCCCCAGTCCAAGTTGCAAAGGCGGGCGATGCAACGTACATGGCCTTATTTGAGTCAATATTTTCATACCAAAGATTGATTGAAGGACTGTTAGCTACTGTTAGCTACCAATATTAATGTGGTAACTATATGTAACTATGGGAATTCTAAAGCCATACCAAATATATCCACGTGTCATCTTTTAAGGAACGATTCCGGAAACTTGTCTTAGTCTCCATGTTTCACACGATTTGGATGGGTTTGGACTTGAAGCCTGATCCCTGCTGCAAATGCGTCGCAAAAATAACGTCACCAAGCAATTTATCATCAAACTGGCATACACCCAGTCGGGAAAGTCAGTGCAACGTCTGTTTGAAAACAAATCGCAATGGGACGCTGCTCATTCAGGAAGTCACAGAAGTCAGTGCAAAATTATGCAGATCAGCATGGGACGCTGTGCGCCAGCAATCATCTATTTCGTTTAATGTTCGGTGTTTTTTATTGGCCTTAAAATTAGGAATCATATTGTGGACGCTGCATCTATGCAGTCATTGTATAGGTTATTTTGAATGATTTTGTTGAACAACGCAATGGGACGCAAGTTTACCACAGTCAAAGTGAAGCGACCAACCAAAGATACAAGTGCAACCCCTTGTGGCGCACGCAGCTCGGTAGTGGGAAGGTAAGCAGCAGCAACAGCAGCAGCAGGACCAGCAGAACCAGCAGCAGTAGCAGCAGTAGCAGCAGCAGCGACAAGACAAGACAAGGCAAGACAACTCACATATTTCCGGCGATTCTCTAGCGATACCCCGGCGATACCCTAAAATGGAAAAAAGGAACCCCTCGCCACCAATCCCCTTAACATTTCAACACAACCACATCTCCAAATTTCAAAAGGGGAAAACCCAACACAATCCAATTCCCAATGGAACTGACACATTAGGGAAATTCTGAACCTACAAGAACGCAGGTAAAAATATCAATGTTCCAACTTCCAAAACACCAGC